CTGCCCCAAAAAATGGGAAGCAAAATAGATATTGGGGGTGAAGTGACTATTGACATATGTTTTTAAAAAATCACATAAAAACCAAAAAAATCAAAGACATGTTCCTTTAGTTAGTTCAAAGGCCCAAACATTACCACTGTGTAGCAAGCCCCTGTGCTCCCTTTTAACTTACTCTTCTGGTTTACCTTCTGATGGCTTGAGAAATTCAGGATTTACAAGCATGTTTTAACACCCCATCATTTTTGGAACAAATGAAATTGATCTGTGCTCATAAATATATTGATGTCATGCGTGTGCACTCAGAAGAGTCTCTTACGCACACACTAGGGAAGGAAACTTCTCATGAGAACCAGAGCATCAATGAAGAGTTATTTCTGGTTTCAGCAGAACAGACTTTATTCCCCAGTCTCATAGATGGTGAGAGTAAGAATGGGCCAGATAATGAGGAACTGCAAGTAGACCAAACAGTGGTGTGGGAACAGGACGATTTAGGAGTAAACGTGAGAACAGAATCTCAATCTTCTGATATGAAGTGTGAGAGCCAAATTGATAAGGGACAAGAGGGATTTGAGGATGCTTGTTCTTGCAAGCGCACATGCAGACTGGGACAGCTGGAATCCCGATTGACTGAAAGGTGGCAAGAGAGAGTTCAAAGTGCCCTGCCCATGGGGGTGCAGTTTCAGAGGGTTCATAAGCAAAGTGTGGGGTGAAGTTAGGTAGAATGAGAGATCAACTTTCTATCCTGTTTCGATGTTACATGAAGAGCTGTTTAGAATAAAGACCTTTGTAGTATCTGCTGGAGTGATTGCTTTCGTTGGGGAAGGAGCACCAGCCACATGACAGTTGAGGAATCAAGCTAAAGTGTGTGCTGTGCCTTTAAAAATAGAATGGAGGGCGCCAAATACAGTCAACTTGTTGCCATGGTGAGGGAAGAAAGTTAAAATCATCAAGAGCAGGAGTTAGAAGCACACTCCCTGACTTAAAGATTTACAAACTTCATGTTTAAATACCTGGGACTGACATAATCTGCCAAGCAGTAAGATAAGCTAAATTGGTAAGTCGTTCTTGATGCGTTTTCAGTGTCCTCAGTCACTTGGGGACTGAGGTGGTCATCTGAATTGACTACCCACTGCAGTGGTACCTTGGCTCATGAACCTAATCTGTTCCAGGACTCTGGTCGTGACCCACATTGGTCGTGAGCCAAGTCAAATTTCCCCATAAGGTTCCATGTAAATAAGGTTATTCCATTCTGTAACTATTTTTTTTAATCACAAAAATTTGAAGCAGGCATGATGGGGGGGAAGATGGGCGCGACCGCGGGTGTGCTGGGGGGAGGCGGGCACGGTCATGATTGTCACCAGATGCGGAGTATGTGATCTGAGGCAAAATTTTTCAGACATTTCTGTTCACGACCTGATTTGGTCCTGAACTGAGGCGTTCGTGAGCCGAGGTACCACTGTAATTGAAATTGCCCATTGAGCCTGAAATGTGGTACACACAAATAGTCTCCGGCTGTGACAAGTTGCCCTATTCAGTCATGTGTTGCCCTTGTTCTCCTGCTGCATCACATGACCATAATCAAACTCAAGTGTGGAGTTACTGTTATTATAATAACTGAATAATATATAAGAGTGCAAAGTTATTCTGTTTTTATAAATGTATAAAAATACATTTGTTTGTTTTTGCATGTCTTTCTGCACACTTTAACTTCTAGCTTTGAAATTGTAGTAAAGTTAGAACCTCTACTGTATTCCATCCAACTGTCTTAATTACTGTAAACCATCCAGAGGCCAGGGCTGTTGGTCCCAGGATCTGCTCTTTAAGAGGAAGCCTCACACTTGTGGAAGTTCCCTCCACCCAATTAGTGGGAATTCTGCTTCCCTCAACCACAGTGGACCCCACTCAACAGGGCCACCTTGACTCACTGAATATCATTTCAGGGAGCTGGATGGGCTGCCATGGGAAGGAGGGAAATCCACTCCCACTGGCATAATTGATCTAGTGCAGCATCTCCTACCCTACAAAAGCAATTGTGCATAAGAACTGACTATCGGCCAAAGTGTGCTTCCAAAGTAACTGCTTAACTCTGCCTCCTCGACACCTGTGTGATACAGTACAGAACCCATGTACCCAAAAGTAAGCAAGTAGGAATTGTATGTTTTTAAGGTTTGTTTTGTGGACCAGAGAGCTTCAGCTGTTAGGTGGTATAGAATTGTGATGGATGGATTAATAGATAAGTAAGAGTCCTTAAGATCAAAGCAAAGTCTATGATTGGCTCTCAAGCCAGATATACAGGGTGGGGCATAAAGATCTCCCACATTTTGAAGGGGTATAAAAAATGAATGAAACTATCTAGAAAGAAATTTCATATATTTCTGAAAAGTACATAAAAACAGGTTTGTTTTAATGGGTTTTAAAAATCATATCAAACGAATGGTGGCCACTGTTGGCAATACATTACTGAAGACATTCCCAAAAGTGCTCCATCACTCTCCGGGTAATCTCAGGCGGAATGGTGTCGATTTCCTGTCTGATCCTTTCCTTCAAAACCTCTAGAGATCGAGGATGATATTTGAAAACCTTTTCCTTTAGATATCCCCAGAGGAAAAAGTCACATGGGCTTGAATCTGGAGACTGTGCTGGCCACCCCACATCTCCCCTTAAAGAGATCAAATGCCCAGAGAACATTTCCCTCAACACTTCGAGTGAACAACATGCTGTGTGAGCTGTAGCCCCGTCTGGTTGAAACCACATGTTCTGCATCCACATCGTCCAGTCTGGGGCACAGAAAGGTCTCCAACATTTCAATGTACCAGTTGGAGGTCACAGTGACTATTGATCCACCTTCCTCACAAAAGTATGGGCCGATCACATCAAAGTTGTCAACTGCACACCAAACAGTTATACAAGGAGAGTGGAGCAGTCATTTGTGGAGTTCATGAGGGTTATGTTTAGCAGTAGGGAAAATTCTGCTTGTTTACAGCTCCGCTGATATGGAAGTGAGCCTCATCGCTAGTCAGAACAGCTGCAGCAGGAACCTGTTCAAGAATTTCCGCACTTAGGGCCCTGTGGTTGGCATGATCTCTCTCACTTAATTCTTGGGCCAACTTCATTTTGTAAGGATGCAGTTTTAAATCAGCATGCAGAATCCTCCTCAAACCCTGACTTTATATCACCAGTGCCATGACATGCTTACGAGCGGAACGCCTTGGCAATTGCTGAATGGATGTTCTTACTGCTTCCACGTATTCTGGTGCTCCAACGGTCCTAAGTCTGCCAGGGGATTTTCTTTTCAGCGTGGATCCAGTTGCCCAAAGATTAGAAATCCATGGCAAAATCTTTTTTCTGAATCTGGTATAGTTGCATTTCGACCGAGCATGAAGTGTGTACAGAACACTCTCTGTGTCGCTATCACAGAATACTTGTTCTCGCAATTCACCTGAGCAACAAAGCCCTGATGTTCACTGGTCCAACTCATGCTAAGTACTGAAAACGGTGGAGTCTAAACTACTGAATGAGACCTACCCCACCTCTCTATACAGCCTCTTGGTGCCCCCTTGAAATGTGGAAGATCTTTATGCCCCACCCTGTATATCAGGGGTCCTCAAACTTTTTTAACGGGGGGGGGGGCAGTTCACTGTCCCTCAGACTGTTGAGGGGCTGGACTATAGTTTGAAAAAAATATGAATGGATTCCTATGCACACTGCACATTAAAACTTAATTAAAATTAAAATTAATTAAAAATAATTAAAATTTTAAAAATAATTTAAAATGTTTATGCCACTCCCACTGAGCCTGAGGGCAGCCACTCGACAGCTTGCCCATTGAAGGCCACGGCTCCCGTGCCTCCGCCACAAGCCCCAGCTGCCTTGCCAAGCCCAGGGGCAGCCTTCTATGGGCAAGCCGCTGCTGTCGAGCAGATGACCCCGGGCTCAGCGAGGCAGCGGCGGCTTGGCCCACAGCCCAGGGATGTGGCTCACGTAATTAAAAATAGATTTTAAAAGTTATATTTTTCTTACCTTCAATCTTTTTTAGCATCTTCGTCTTTCTCTCCCTTCTGCCCAACTCTCTTCTGTTTCCCGCTCCATATTCCCGCTCTGTATATGCATGCAATGGAGGGGACTGGGGAGGGAGAGCCAGCACACACGCAGTTGAATTTTTACAATTAGGCATGTGTGCTGGCTCTCTGCTCAGTTTCAAAGAGTGCCTGTGCCAGCGCAGGGCTTTTGGACTCGCTCAGAGATTGTTTTCTCTGAGTGAGTCCAAAAGCTCTGAGGCGGGCTGGATAAATGAGCATGGCGGGCCGTGCCCATGGGTCGTAGTTTGAGAACCCATGCTGCATATGATAGGTGTGGGCATCCATGTGCTGAAACACTATCTTAAATCACTAAGGAGATAATTCCTTCTTACCTCCTTTGCCCCATTTTAGGCCACACATGATCATTTCTCAAGGGCACTTATCTGGGTATCTGGGTCAATTCACTAGTTGTACACAGTGAATGACACCTATTATAACCATAACATGGATCCATGATGCATTACTAACTTAATTCTTGGCAAGGATGGTAAAGATCTGTCCAGCAGCAGTAAGTTCTGTTCTTCAGGGAGAGCTGAGATTCATCAAGGGCTACAATTGGACCAGAGGAATGGGAAACTTACCTGTTACTACAGCTGTGTGCTCCATACTTACACCAACAACTAATTCATTTAGTTGTTAATGTAAGTATGAGGAGCAGCCCTTGCCAATGTGGCACCCAAATACGTTGGACTATCCATATCACCCCTACCCATTTGGCTGGTATGGGCATTTCTGAACATTGCTAGGTTGCTGGAGATTGTGTTAGAAGAGAAAGTACATCTGTTTCCTGCCTTGCAGAGGATCCTCCCTTTAATAGAGCCTGTTCCACTGGTTTAGATAAGTACCTTTTTTCTCATAGAAGCACAGTAGTGCAGGGGTGCAAATGTTAAGCATTTTTGTCTTCCCACCTGCAGGTTTTTGACCACACAAATTTCAAGAATATGTCCCAGTCTAACTTCTTATACTGTCCTTGTTGGGATCCTTGGAAGATAGGATGTAAAAGGCTTGTGAAAGCCAAAGCAGGCCAGCTGAATCAGAAGCACAGGTAAATAGAAAATACTGGGACACTGTGAGTGGATGGATGGAAAGTCAACAAAATAGAGCCAAAACACAAACTCATAGTTGGAAGGACCCCAAGGCTGGTAGAATTAAAAAAGGCTTTTTGCTAACACTGCCAAACCCAAGGAATCCCTTCCTAAACTGCCTAACAGTGGGTACTAAGCATACTCCGTGCTTACCTGGAGCTACAAAATGTTGAGTGTGAAAGAAAATTAGAAAACTAAAAGGGGAGAATGAACTGGCTTTCTTGAAACACTCAGTTTTTGTCTGTGTCCATTTATAAATATTATGCATGGCTGACAGTTTATACAGAATATATGTCATGGGTAGCTTATATTTGTTCCTGCAATGCCTTTTCAGAATGCCTTACAAGAAAAGTTGATTCTATAGAATAACTCAAAAGTTATCAAAGTCAAGTTAAGACGTATCCATCTAAAACAAAGATGGCAATTTGCGGAGCTCCAGATGTTTTGGCCTATCATTAGTATCTAGTCTGGATGGGAGGCCAGGCATCGTCCCCAGCAGAGGGGTACACTACAGTGGCTGGGGGAAACCACACAGCAGCTGGAAAAATGAAGAAATTACTTGAAGGAGGAAAAGCATGTCCACCTTTTGTGTACTTTCCCCCTCCCTACTTTTCACTTTGTTGCAAAATCCCCCTTGCATGGGCAGGAAGGGCGTGACACACAAAGACGCCTCACACACACTCACCGAGGGAGGGAGTGGGAGAATGGGAGTGTTCGGCAGGGAAGAATAGTGGGAAAAGCAGACCATTTCTCCTGCCTATAAGGAGAGAAACGTCTGTCTTGCTTTCCAGCTTTCTGCTTTAGTCCCTTCTCTCTCCTACAGTCCTCAGACTCATTAGCTTTGCTTCAAGCAGCAGGAGAAAATGCAATATCCGAAATCAACGGGGAGGAGCGAGATATCGTTGCTCTTTCCAGCTCTCTGGTTCGCTCCGTGTTACTTTTCAGCTTTTTAAAGGATGCGCTTTCAGAGTCTCCACATGTGCGTCTGCAGGACCTTTAAAAAGAAGCAGGGACCACATCTGCCGCCTGCCTACTCCGCTTGCTTGTCACCTATCTTCTTCCTTCCCCCTTTCAGTCTCCGAACTCGCTTGCTTTTGCTGCGCTTTAGGTGCCAACAGCAGCAGCAGCAAACGCAACAGCCCCGACAAAAGCTTGCGTTGCTGCGCACTTGCCCCGGCCTCCAGCTCGCGGCCCTTGCGTGTGCGTGTGCGGCTGCGCGTAGCGGCGGCGGGAGGGGAGCGGGAAAAGGCGGCGGCCTGTGAGGCCTCTCTGTTTAGCGAAGCGGGCGGCAGACAACGCGAAGCCTGGAAAGGACGGCGCTGCTTGTATTCACCATGAAAGGGTAGACTCGGAAGGGGCCCAGAAGGCCACTGGGGCTCACCGCTTGCTTCGTGCAGAACTCCAAGGTACTTCGCCCCCCCGGATGGCTGTCAGCTGCCTCTTGAAGGCCTCCATGGCAGAGCCCATGGCCTCCCTCCGGAATAGGTTCCATTGGCATACTGTTGACCTCGGTGGGGCTCTGCCATGGCCTACCAGCCTAATGACACACAACAAGGGAGTAAGCGTGGAAAAGATTTATTATGCAAAATAAAGGTCTCCTGCATCTAATGGTTGCAGAGGGCCCCATTCATACCTTTCACGCATCTTATATAGCTTTCTGCACAAAGGATTTCAGAGGCTCTGCTTTGGTTGGCTACATTTTTTCTTAACATGCTTGTTTGCAACTACTTCTACCAATCACCATTGGCCCAAGCTCTTACCTTTATCAGCTACAAGCTATGCGTGACATCCAAATGTTTCTGATGCCCTCAGCTTCCCTTATCACTTTGTACGTGTCCTGCACACATGAAGCTTATGGCTGCCTGAGCTCATCCAGAAACCTTCCTTAGTTTCCTTCAGATTGGCTAAAGAAGCCCAGATGCTTCTCAAGAGCTGAGAAAGTGCAGGCACCCTTTTTTTTAGTGTAAAGAACATCAGCAACCAGAAATTGGAGATGATGCACCTAGTCATTGCCCAGTTACTGAAGTTATGGAGGAAGACACATAATTTATTTCATCCCCAGTGTGTCATCAGAAATGCAGATGGAAGAAATACCAGCTGAAGATGTAGAAGATCAGCTCCTGGGTGAAAAATTACCAGTTGATTCCATAGACTCTGGCACTTGGCCAGTTCCAGGAAAGATGACCAAGAGGTCATGCTGCTTTCTCACAGGTGTGATAGTGGCACTAGGAAAGAAATACACACTGCGTCAATTTTAGCTCAGTTCAGAGAGGAAACTGATGTTTGAATTCTTCACCGTGGTTCAGAGACATGCCTGATGGTGAAACAGTCAAGAAAGTTTGGTTAATTTATTCAAAAACAGAGAATCCTCCTTTTTTGTCCTCGATGAAAACTGTTCCTTAATATGTCAAATGTTGCAGGATGTTTGTCTGTCTTGCAAACTTTTTGCTAATTGGAAGAAAGCAGCAGAAAAGTTGTTTCAATCGTGCACAGAAATGTATAGTCCAGCAGATAATTCTTTAATTGGCATTTTTAAAAAACAAACAGAAAAGCAAATGGCATTATCAATTGCCCAGCCCTGATCTTGCTATCCAGTATACAGAGTGGTGGACTAGATGGACCTTAGCTCTGATCCTTAAGAGATTTCAGAAGCAAGGTTCCTACCAGAAAATGTATGTGGGGAGGAGCCACTGCTTAGCTCTAAACAGATCAGAATGGATCAATGACAATAATCTTGGAATGGAAGAGAACACCATACAAATTGTCCCAGATGAATTTTAAGAAACATCACCGGATCTGAGGGTTGTAGGTTTGATTCATATTTGGATGTAAAGCAAAAGTGGCCTAAACCTCAAATCTGTTCATACTACATGGGTGGATTTTTACAAAGGCTATGTTACAGATTAGCCACAGAAGAAGATAGGACTAAGAGCATTTTCTGACAGTGTGCAATATACTCCATTCTCCCTCCCAGGAGAGAGGGGGTATTGTTTTAGAGAGTCAGAGTGGTGTAGAGGTTAAGAGCTTGGAACCAGGACTCAGTTCTAGTTCCTGCTCAGCTGTACAGCCAACTGGGTGACTTTGGGCCAACCACAGACTCTCAGTGCAATGTACCTCCCAGTGTTGTTGTTGTGGGGATGAGATTGAGAACAGTAGGAGAAGAATAAGACACCTTTAGGTGAGATGTTGTTGTTAGACACGAAGTCATGTCTGACCCATTGCGACCCCATGGACAACATTCCTCCAAGCCTTCCTGTACTTCCACCATCCCCCAGAGTCCACCTAACCTCACGCCGACTGCTTCAGTGACTCCATCTAGCCACCTCATTCTCTGCTGTCCCCTTCTTCTTTTGCCATCTATTGTTCCCAGCATTAGGGTCTCCTACATGTAGTCCTTCCTTTTCATTAGGTGGCCAAAGTATTTGAGTTTCATCTTCACAACAGTGCAACATTGTACAAGAGGTAGCAACTAAAACCATCCCAAAGAAAAAGAAATGCAAGAAAGCAAAATGGCTGTCTGAGGAAGCTTTACAAATAGCTGAGGAAAGAAGGGAAGCGAAAGGCAAGGGAGAAAGAGAAAGATACACCCAATTGAATGCAGAATTCCAGAGAATAGCTCAAAGAGATAAGAATGCCTTCTTCAATGAAGAGTGCAAAGAAATAGAAGAAAACAATAGAACAGGGAGGATCAGTGTTCTCTTCAAGAAAATTGGAGATATGAAGGGAACGTTTCATGCAAAGATGGGCATGATAAAGGACCAAAATGGCAGGAACCTAACAGAGGCAGAAGAGATTGAGAAGAGGTGGCAAGATTACACAAAAGAACTATGCAAGAAAGACCTTAACGTCCCTGATGACCACGATGGGGTGGTCACTGACCTCGAGCCAGATATCCTGGAATGTGAAGTCAAATGGGCCTTAGGAAGTCTGAGCAACAACAAAGCTAGTGGAGGTGACAGTATTTCAGCTGAGCTATTCAAAATCTTAAAAGATGATGCAGTAAAAGTGCTATACTCAATATGCCAGCAAATTCGGAAAACTCAACAGTGACTGCAGGATTGGAAAAGGTCAGTTTACATTTCGATCCCAAAGAAGGGCAATGCCGAAGAATGTTCAAACTACCACACCATTGCACTCATTTCGCACGCTAGCACAGTTATGCTCAATATCCTACAAGCTAGGCTCCAGCAGTATGTGGACCGAGAACTACCAGAAGTACAGACAGGGTTTCGAAAAGGCAGATTAGCTAGAGATCAAATTGCCAACATACGCTGGATCATGGAGAAAGCTAGGGAGTTCCAGAAAAACATCTACTTCTGCTTCATTGACTATGCTAAAGCCTTTGATTGTGTGGATCACAACAAATTGTGGCAAGTGCTTAAAGAGATGGGAGTACCTGACTATCTTATTTGTCTCTTGAGAAACCTATATGCAGGTCAAAAAGCAACAGTGAGAACTGGATACAGAACCACTGATTGGTTCAAAATTGAGAAAGGAGTTCAGCAAGGTTGTATACTGTCGCCCTGCCTATTTAACTTACATGCAGAGCACATCATGAGAAAGGTGGGGCTAGATGAATCACCAGTTGGAATTAAGATTGCTGCTAACCTCAGATATGCAGATGATACCACTCTAATGGCAGAAAGTGAAGAGGAACTAAAGAGCCTCTTGATGCAGGTGAAGGAGGAAAGTGCAAAAGTTGGCTTGAAACTCAACGTTAAGAAAACTAAGATCATGGCATCTAGTCCTCTCACTTCCTGGCAAATAGATGGGGAAGAAATGGAGGTAGTGACAGATTTTATTTTCCTGGGCTCCAACATCACCACAGATGGGGACTGCAACCGAGAAAGTAAAGGACACTTGCTCCTGGAGAGGAAAGCTATGGCAAATCTAGACAGCATACTAAAAAGCAGAGACATCACCCTGCCAACAAAAGTGTGTATAGTCAAGGCTATGGTTTTTCCAGTTGTATGGCTGTGAAAGCTGGACCATAAGGAAGGCTGAGCGCCGAAGGATTGAGGCCTTTGAATTGTGTTGCTGGAGGAGACTCCTGCGAGTCCCTTGGACTGCAAGGAGATCGAACTGGTCAGTCCTAGAGGAGATCAACTCTGACTGCTCTTTAGAAGGCCAGATAGTGAAGATGAATCTCAAATACTTTGGCCACCTAATGAGAAGGAAGGACTCACTGGAGAAGAGCCTAATGCTGGGAACAATAGATGGCAAAAGAAGAAGGGGACGGCAGAGAATGAGGTGGTTAGATGGAGTCACTGAAGCAGTTGGTGTGAGCTTAAGTGGACTCTGCGGGATGGTGGAGGACAGGAAGGCCTGGAGGAATGTTGTCCATGGGGTCGCAATGGGTCAGACACAACTTCGTGACTAACAACAACAACTGCTTTTCCTACTCTTTTATTGACTATGAAGGTTGCTCCATTTCTTCTGAGGGATTCTTGCCCGCAGTATTATACCTGATGGTCGTCTGAATTAAATTCACCCATTCCTGTCCATTTTAGTTCACTGATTCCTAAGATGTTGATGTTCAGTCTCGTCATCTCTTGTTTGACCACATCCAGCTTGCCTTGATTCGTGGATCTTACATTCCAGGTTCCTATGGAGTATAGATCTTTGCAGCATCGGACTTTCCTTTCACCACCAGATACATCTGCAACTGAGTGTCCTTTCGGCTTTGACCCAGTCGCTTCATTCTTTCTGGCGCTACTAGTACTAGCCCTCTGCCCTTCCCCAGTAGCATATTGGACACCTTCCGACCTGAGGGGCTCATCTTCCAGTGTCATATCTTTTTGTCTTTTTGTCCATGGGGTTTTCATGGCAAGGGTACTGGAGTGGGTTGCCATTTCCTTCTCCAGTGAACCAGCTTTTGTCAGAGCTCTCTGCTATGACCTGTCTGTCTTGGGTGCCCCTGCACGGCATAGCTCAATGGTTTCATTGAGCTACGCAAGCCCCTTCACCACGACAAGGCAGTGATTGGTGAAGAAGAAATGACACATTATGATTACACAATAAATGCCTTGTATAGAGAAGCTCTCAATCGCCAAGCCTTCTGGAATACCCCATAAGGCAATACCTTTGCAGTTCTAAGAACTTAATGGCCAAAAGCATTTTAGGCTTAAGGGAGTTTTGATCTCATTCTAAACTTTTTTTTATTAGATCAACTCCATTAGGTGTGATTTTAAATGACCAAACTGTGTATCAGTTTCCTCTGAAATCTCCAGGTACAGCTAGGTAAGTTTTCCTGTGCATATAGAATTGAGTTTACAGGGAATCTTGTAACAAATGGCTTAAATGTTTTATGTTCCAATATGTGGCAAGGTCTATGGATAAAATAAATCAGGTTTTAGTTTGGTTTGAAAATAGCTTTTGTTGAAGCTCAACTTTTTTCATTATTCACATCTTCCAGTGCTAGCTTATACACTGCCAGTGGTTTTAAGAGTGTATGATTAACCAGGAAAACACTTTGTGCCATCCTTGACACACCTGTATTGCCTTGCAGACCCAGAGCAGATGCAATACTGTTTGGTGCAGAACAGAGCTGCCAGGTTGCTGATGGGGACTGGGCGTTGTTCTCATATAACCCCAGTTCTCCGTCAGTTTCACTGGCTCCCCATTGAAGTCTGGGCCCAATTCAAGGTGTTGGTTATCACCTATAAAGCCCTCAACAGCTTGGGACCTGGTTATCTAATGGAGCGCTTACGTGCATATATGCCCTCCCGCCCCCTGAGATCGGCAGAGGAGGCCTTTCTCCAGGAGCCCTCTGTGAAGGATATTAGGAGGGTGAGTACCCGGAGGAGGGCCTTCTCTGTGGTGGCGCCCCACCTATGGAATGTGCTCCCCAGAGATGTCCGCCTGGCGCCATCGTTATTTGTTTTTCGGCACCAGGCCAAGACCTTTTTATTTAAATGATATTTTAATTGTTAATTGTTGTTTTTATTTATTGGTTTTAAACTATTGCCGAGATGCTCCAAATTTTTAATGTTATTCTATGTTGTCTATCTTTGTAAGCCGCCCCGAGGCTTTCTGTGATGGGGACGGCATAAAAATGCTATAAATAAATAAATGACCTTCACCACTCTCTGAAGTCCATCAGATGTACATAAATATGTACAGATCACCAGCTCCCGAATAATTTAGTGCCATCTACTTTACTTCACCGTTCATCCATAACTCCAGATAATTTAACAAGTTACGCAGCTCAGTCCCCTGTGCCAGTTCCCATTATCATGGGAACTGTCTTACTCACCCCATGTACTTCCTGTTATTACTAATCCACCAGGGAACCATTTTCCTTACTCCGTATCTGCTGTGCCTACTCAGAGGTCTGTCAAGTGCGTGGTATCCAGTGGAGCACTTAGACTTCTGCTGATTCTGTCGCACGCTACAGCTTGGCAAGCGATACTCTCACTTGTGGAAGGAAGAGTGAATTCTTCCAGAGGGAATCAGGAAGTAGCAAAAATGCTAGTTTCTGGAATGGGGCAGGTTGGCAGAGCTCATATAAGGGAGTTGTCCTGATCCAACATCCAAATCAACATTTTTCCTCATTTCAGGGCTTCCTCTAGGAATTGCTAGCAGAAATGTTGTGCAAGCAGTGAACTGCACTTGTACCGCAAGATCTGCTGGGGTCGAAGCTACTAGATAGATGCTGCCCCTAGAATAGACTGTCTCCTGGACTGCTGCTCTCTACATGCACATTTCCAAACTTGTAGAACTAGCAGAACTTGCCTTTGGGGAAGCCTGGCTGACCCTTTTTGCCCTGCTTGTTCTGTGATAACAATTAATGTTATCTTTACTGATGCTTTTGGCTATTTTACCCAAGCAGCTGTTAATCTAATTGGCTTGTAATTGGCAGGATCCCTTTCTGTTAGGCCTGTCTTCAAAAATCTCCGTTACATTGGCTGTTCTAGTCTTCTGGAATGGAGAGCAATTTTAGTGACTAATTGTATGAATTTGTTTAAAAAAGCAGCAAATTCACACCCATGTTCTTTAAGAACCTTGGAGTGCGCACCATCTGAACAGAGACAGACACACATGTATCTAAAACAGTTTTTGTTTAGATGCCCACTTTTTAAAAAAATGTTTGCTCAAGTTCTGCTTCCAGTCGTTCATGTTCTGCAGTAAAGACAAACACAAGCAGCTGTTTCAGCCCTTTTCTAGTGCTCCTGTAACTTCCTAATTGTCCTAGGGTATAATCTTGTCCTCGCCCGGCTGTTTTCTTGTTTTGTTTTTACTTGTTGGTCTTAATAGTTTTAGCAATCCATTCTTGGTTTACTCTTAGCGGGGTGGGGTGGGGCAGGCCCATGCCCTTTTACAATGTTGGTATGTTTTGCTGAATTTATTGCATTTCCCTTTTTGAATTACTTTTTGTTTTGTGTGTTTTTGCTAACCACTTTGAGGGAATGTAAGTTATATAACTTCTTACAAATACAGTATAAATACATACTAATTTTTGCCTGCCATATTGTAGTATTAGCTTTTTATATGCTCAAATGTGTGCTTCTATCTGTTCTCATTATTTGGCCAGGCTTCTCTTTTCTGAAAGAGCCCTGTTTGCTTGTTGTAGTTTCGGTGGCTATTTTTCCATGCTGGCATCCCCTTGCACTGTTGGCAGCTTTCCTAATCTATAGTAAATATTCCAGGTGAACTGCTGCTGTGCTTCCAGTTAACTTCCAAAGGCTTCTTTACATGAGCATGTAACCCTGTGCTTCACTGAGGCTTGCTTCTTCCATTATCTTAGTGGGAGGAAACTTCCTTTTACATTAGTCCCCTGCCACCTAGGGTTTTGTCTCTGCCTTTCCATATGTTCAATTCCATAACACAAGGTAATGCTGTAATAGAGAGCAGATTTAGACTATACACAATGCTTTTATAGTAAATCTTGACATCATTCAAGAAAATACTGTATTACTGCTTTTAAAAAGCTGCAGAAATGGCTGGAAATGCAGGAGAGGCCCTGGTTGGATGACAGCGATTGGTGAAAGACTCCCACAGACTTTCTTGAATGAAGAATTATAAGGGATCACATGGAGAAAAGCCCAAATAGTCTTGGCTTTGGTCCCTTTTGTATTTCCTTTTGGAATAAGCCACTCTTTTGAAATCAAATGTGAGCATGTTGGCCTGACATGGCTATTTTTAACTTGTTCTTGTTGATTTTAATTAACCTTACCTTCTTCTTCCAGAGTAATATTGCCTGCCAGAACTTATATACAACCACTAAGAAGCAGGAAGCCTCGAGATGTGAGTCAGATAGAGTCTTCCTCATTTTTATTTCTATCATTGCTACATTTATTTTGTATCATTGCTATCATTTAAGGACTTAGACTGTATTTGCCTTATGGAAAATGTTTTAACTGGTTCTTTCTTTGCAACAGCCCTGTAAAGTAAATAATGTTTAACTTTAGAGAAGAGAGGGAAAGTTGGGGGGGGGGAAATGGTCATGAACACAGATCTCCTGGTTCAAAGACATAAAATTCTGCCGCTTTGACTATACATTACAGGCTCTTGGCTGGAAGAATAGAAGAAAATATCTAGTCAGGCTTCATTCTGATTGATACTGATAATTTTAATCTTATATTTGTAAATCAATGTATTTTTTGTATTTTTGTATTTAATGGTAATTTATTATGTGCTATTGTATTTCAATGTATTTTATCGTGTTGTAAGCCGCCCCGAGGTTTCGGCAAGGGGCGGCATAGAAATGTTATAATAATAATAAAAAAATAATAATAATTTCAGATACCAAGATCAGAGTCCCGTTCACTAAAAGAAGGCTTTCTGTGCCTGCTAAAAGAAGGCAGAGAGAGTTTTCACTTATTTCCCCTTTCCTATAGCCTCAGAAAATCTGCTCAGGAGGGTTGTCAGACTGCACAGGAAATGTCTTTGGTGACTTGCAGTATTTTTAAATCACATTAAAAATCATGTTAAAACATGAAATACAAAAATCAGGACAAAGAATGAAACCAGTACAGAATATTCAGGAGCCTCTGTAAATCAAACTCATTCTATGAACAGGGTGCCACCTTTTAGATTCTTGCATTATCTGTTTCTTCTTCAGTTATTAGTCTATCCCTTGCCAAAGTTTCATATGCTTGGAGCTATTGATAGCCAGCCCAAAGAATGAAGTTTTACAGCTCTTCTGTATGTATCCAGGCTTGTTCATTGGTGGATTTCCAGAATGAAGGAGTGACAGCCAGCGAGAATGCCTCTCCATGTGTGTCAAGAGACCCTTTAAACCCATGAGAATAGGTCATCTGGTACCTTCCCAATATTTCAGTCTACAACTTCCATAATCCTTTACCACAGGCTGGGGCCTATGGGAGTTAGTTTAAAGCTGCTAAAGGTTTTAAGTACCTGTATGGCCCCTCGTTAGCCCCCTGCAGTAAACTCAGAGTTCTTTGAGATACTGAGGAAATAATATGCAAGATCCAGGTTTACTTACAAGGAGGAAAGCTCTTTATTGTGTACAAAATACAAGTTAGCTAACACGCAGCATGAACTGTACCTCAAGTCAGGCTTCAATCAGCTGGAACGGGTGGTCAGCAAAGCTGCCTGTGAGAAATGTTGGTGTCTGAACAATGGGAGGCTGGACTAAGTACCTAGTTATACACTCTTTGCTGCGGATACCTTGCAGTCCTGCAATCTAAACAACTCGAAAGTTTCTCACCCTAGCTAGTCCAGCTGTAGCTAAGCAACTTACTGATAAGCGGGGGTGCAGGCAGGGCTGGCAGATTCTTGCAGGCACACAAGCTAGTTAGATCTTGGAATGCAGACCTTGTTATGCTCTTTGATAACAAACTCCTGCTCATAAATTGGTGTTGATGTTCTGAGGTGTCCTTTGCCCATCATCTCCACTGAGCCAGGCTTTTCAGCTGAGCCAGACAAGATGGAGGCTTTGCCCACAAAAGTATGTGTTTGTTCTTTGGCACATCTGCACTGACTGAGCCAAAGAAGTAGGCAACACAGCAGATGGAAATTACGGAAATACCAGAGCAGAGAAAGCCAAGGGCGGAGGCCCACAGTACTGTAAGCCCTTATACATCAGTATCAGCCCAAATGGTGCCCAAAAAACAAAGGGGAGCCAGTTCAGAGTTTAGAAGGTGGTGCTGATGCATGCAGAGAAGGATTGCTGTGTTCTGCAACAGCCAAACATTACAGTAGCCAGGGTTGATTACGGCAGCACCTTGAGGCTGAGAGACATATAGATTAGAAGTATTTATATTTTCTAACCTTGAGAAATTAGTCAAATCAAAAGTACCACATTAGCTATTTTGTATACCCCCTCTGTTTTCAGATTATGTTTTTAGCCAAATCTTAATCTCTCAAGGATGGTTGTTACTGTTCTTTGCCAACAAGTCATCTCTGACTTATGGCGGCCCTATGGATAAAAGCTCTCCTGAGCACCCTATTCATCTGTGGCAGCCTGGCTCAGCCTTTGCAGAAAGTGGAATATTGTATAAAAATGCCTCAGACAGCTTGAGATTTCCTTTTTAGAGAACATATCATTGGTTTGGTGTTATACTCGAGGATTCTGGAGTTCAGTCTCTTTTCACCCCAGATATCAAAGGAGTTTGAAGAGGAGGTCATTCCTGGTTTTACCGTGGTTCGCAGTAAAGAACACATTGATGTCACTCTTGGAGAGGAATTCTTTGAGCGGAAGAAACCTTCCAAAGAATCTGCCAAGCCCACTGTGCCTCGGTAATCTTGTACAATGGCAAGGATAAATGGTGTTGCTCAGAGCTGCTGCACCTGCAACATGATTTTCTGCAGGTTTTCTGCTTCTGCAAGGAACAGTGATGAGGATCGTGATATCAATAGCAAACCTCTATTATTGCTATTACAATGCAATAAATGATATTGTTATTGCTTTTGGTAACATATGATAATTGATGATGGTGGTGATAATAGAGATAATAATTCAGTAATTATGCTAATGATGTGAAGCTCCTTCTGTATTGGTATGCCCTTTGCCTCAGGGGACGTGGGTGCAGAGACCAATCATGTAATGGTGAATATCTGCGTCCCAGATACCCTTAGGAAAAAGACTCATTTTATTAAGGACTCTCTATGTGATTTGTCTTGAGATGAATTGAAGTCCTCTCAGGAGGCCTTCCAGACTGTTTACCAGGAATGCATGAGACAGATTCACATTTCCTGCTGGTGCTTCAGCTCTCAAGAGAATCCCATCCTTGTTCAAGAAAAGGATTAGGGTTAGGGTAGCAGAAAAGGCAAGGATAATCTAAGAATCTCCAGCCATAGATTCATTATAACTAGGTTAATATACAGAAGCAATATCCAGTTTCAAAATAAGACTTCTATTTTTCCTGTGCTGCATCTGAAGTGAGAGCTGCCCATAAAAACTCTGTGTGAAAAAATCTAGGATTTTAGGATGACTGTGATTAGATATCAGCAAGTCTTCCTTAAAATAGAAAGTAGCAGCAAAGACTGAAGATCTTTCCTCTTCCTGACTAGGGTTTTCTTTTTTGTTTGTTCCTCCCTTCCATTCTTGTAGTTCTTAGTCATTTCAGATGGTTTTATTTACTTGATTTTCAATGTTCCACTCTTTTTATTTCTTTTCACTTTTCTTCCTTTGCTGTTCACTGCTCTGGAATCTTTTTTTTAAATATAAAACAGTTTATACATTTTGTAAATAGTACTTCGAGTGCGTAGTGGTTGCACACAAGTCCCTGCATATAACTGAGGAGGGTGGGACTTGGTTTAAGCTGACTGAACTTTGCTGTAACATGAGGGTGTTTCCCAAGAAGGATTTCTGGTTGGAAACCAGATGCAGCCCAATTCAAACTTTTGATAGTAAAACTAGACTAGGCTGCAGGGCTGTCATAAATCACTCTTTTAGCCTCAGCTTGCCCCCAGTTTGTAGTATTAAGACTTGACTGTACTGCAGGGTCTTGCACTAATAGTTCATGTTTATATCCCTCATTTCTGTCAAACATGGCACTCGAGGCAGGTAGCAATAATGAAATGCAGAATGTTAATTAAAATATAACAAAATAAAACAGCCAAATACTTAAAAAACCCTTCATCAACAAACTAGTTTAATATACCGAAGCCCAACACAAATAATACCCCACTCAGTTTGAGCCTCAGTCTGTGATATTAGCACTGAACTATATTGTAAGGCAGCCTTAAGTGCCCTTTCTCAACCTTAGAATCACCAGTCTGTGATATGGTGATAAAGAACTGCATGGGCATTGAGAAAATATTTCCTTAATTCCTCACATCATGTTTAGCCTTCATGGTTGAACCTGAAAATGGCAATGAAATATTTAATATGCTGATGTTTGATTGGGTTGGACCTATTTGTGGAAAGACACTTGGGGTTCAACCCAAAGTGTTTCACTGGAAGTTTTTGTGTAGTGCTTTCTGTATGAAATAGCTTTTGGGATGCGGCTGCCTACAGATTGAGATAAAATATGACTGGTTGCACAATTTCATCCAGAAAACACAATGACTTGATCTGAACATTGGACCACCACATTCATCCTGCTTTGTCCTTTTGCTGGAGGGGGTGTTGCCCTCTGTCGCATTAGCGGGACTCAGCAGCTGCGTCAGGAAGTACCATTGGGCCACATCCAGCCTGTAGGATGTGTTCCTGTATAGCTTAGGTCTCCAGACAGGTGACTGAAGATTTGGCAAAGTCATCATAATCTCTGGAATTTTGTCGTTATTGGCATAAGTATAAACAAATGCAGCTCTCCCCAGTGTGGTACCCTCCAGCTGTGTTGCTCTGTATCTCCCATTATTCGCAGCCTGCACGGCCAATGGATATTATAGTCCAACACATTAGAGGGACAGGAAAGCTGGATCAGTTCTTGGATAACAAGGGCTTTGTAATGTGAATGTGTGAACTGACTGGAAGGGTGCCTAAAATAGCAACTCTCTCTCTTTCTTTTAAACCCTGCTGCAGCACTCCGCCGAAGCTTGAAACGTAAGTACAGACTCCCCCGCCCTCTGCCGCCACCCACAGTCTCCTCCCTTGGATTAGAAACGGAGCAGCGTTGCCCTTCCTGTGGCACTTTGCCAAGCCTGCTTTGACAGCAGCTTGCTTGCGGAAGGAGTCATGGAGGCCGCATTACCATGGCAGCGTGAGAGTAATGTCCTGAGGAGAGCCTCTACTAGGCGAAGTTGGCTAGACATCTGCCCGCCTCTCTACCTCTCAGGCACATGCACACGCACATGCGCCCCCATGCGGCTTTTGGACTAGCACTTCTCGGCTCTGCATTCCCTTCGGGTGTGTGGCACCGTTCTTGTCTGCGCCCCTGGTGGGGCAGTGCACTGCTTCGTGGGAAGCAGGTGCAAATATCAGCATGACAGGGAGCAATGGATGCGCACCGGCAAGCCTAGCCAAGCGGGGGTGGGGAGAGCACCTGTTGACACCCCCCCCGCCCCGCCCCCGGCTGCTGCTGGTCCAGCTGTCTCCACAATTTAATTCAAAGTCTCCCGGTCTCCCACGAGACATTCCTGAATTGTAAATTATCTGCAAGCCTGACTCTATTCATTTAGGGCTCCAACTAGACCATGATTTTCTCTCCCAAAGCAGGTATTCAATTAGCATTAAAAAGTTGAAGGATTTGTGTTTTCACAAGTTACTACTGTTGTTAATAGTCACTGTGTTTGGAGTTTTGCAAAGTCTAGAGTTTTGCAAAGATTGCAAAAAGTCTGGAGTCTTGCAAAGGAATGACACACTGTTCCTTTCTATCTCATGACTGATTCACAGTTAGCTATGTTTACTCTATACCAGTTTGTGAAATATACCTTCTGTTATCATGTGACACATTTGCTTTTTGTGTGTACACACACACACACACACACACACACACACAGTGCGTTAATGCAGCTGATGCAGTGGACTGTATCCCACATAAGCATATGTCTTTAAGATTAATTGTAAATGGTGTCACAATTTTTGATTTTACTGTAGCAGACTAATACAGCTGCCCCTCCTTGTTTGATTTGTTCCTCCTTATCTTCGGCAGAGCAGATCAGTGTGAGTTCAGAAAGGTGTACAAATGCCTCTCTTTAAGCCTCTAGAAGTTACTCTTCATTTAAAACCTCTATTCGCTGAACTTTGGTCATCTGAACATGTTATATAAGTAACATGGAAGCAATCCCAACTTTTTTATTTTCAAGTAAGTGTGCAAGGGCCAGATCTAGATTGGGACCAGCATGCACAAAGAGGGGAGCCTTACTTAGCCTTTCCACCCACCTGCTTCCTCCCTTCTGCTTCTGGCTGAAGAGGCCAAATACAAAACTCCAACTGACAGCAATGGATTCCTCCCCTGCCTTTAGTTTCTTTGCAGCAGGAAGCAAATTTAGGGAGGAAGGCAAGTAGATGGGGCAGTGTAGAATCCTCCTAGCCATGCTTCCTGGTTCCAGTCCAGACTGGGGGCCCACACATTGCCTTCAACATATGAAAGTTCATGTATTCTTAACATGAAACTTAGCTTAGCCCTTAGTTGTCACAGAAGTTCTGCCACAAGCAGAACTTTCTCATCCCTGCAAGCACACCTGTGTGTAACAATCATGCCTGTCCCTTTGAATGGGATTATGTGAGCGGGAAGGGAGGGGTAGCCGCCTATCCTAAGAGAGCTTGCTTCTTCGGAGTAGTTTTTATTTGTTTATAATGTTTATATCTGGCCTTTTTTTTGTTCCGAGAAACTCAAGGCAGCTTATATAATTATCTGCCTCCTCTCTACCAATTTTACCCACAACCCTGTGAGACAACCCTGTAAGGTAGGCTGTAGAGCCACTACACCACACTGCCCCTCTTTTTCTGCTTGTCCTTCTCACACCGAAGCCTGCCAAGTGGCCAGCATTGCTAGTGGTGTGTGCCAGAGAGCTCCTAGCTATCGCTTTCTTTGCCGGGGCTGGCCTGAACTTGCTGCCTGTCAGGGGGTTTGGGCTGGATCATCTGCTCTTCTTCCTGTCCCAGCATCATTGTCATCTAGTCCAGCTGCCCCCAATGCGATGTCCTCCGGATGTTCTGAACTTCAGGCCCCATCTTCCCAGCTAGCGTGGTCAGTGGAAGTTGTAATCCGAAATGTCTGGAAGGTGCAATGGCAAGGAAGGCAGCTCAAGTCCAACCCTCTGCTCAGTGCAGGAAATCAACTGCTAGAGCATCTCTAAGAGGTAGCTGTCCATTTCCTGTCCAAAGGCCTTCAAGTGAAGGAAGGAATTGGTTCCATCATCAAGCTTCCTGTTGTCATGAGGCTTCAACCAGTGTTTGGCTGAACTTGGCCTCTTTTGTAATAATACTCTTTTTGTAAAAAAAAAGAGTGTGCTGACGTAGAGTCCTGCCAGCTCTGATCTCTTCCAGGGAAAGAGAAGAAGGCAAACTGCTTCCAGGCAGAGCAGGGAATCCTAAGGAAACTTCCAATTATAATTCTTGGTTTTCCCATGCTGGATCCTTCTGACATCACACAGTTGGGAAAGCAGGAAGCTAGTTGGCCCAGGATGTATTGCCAACTCTTGACTGGCAGTGCCTCTCCAGGGATTCAGTTCTTCTACCCTTCCTGGAGATGCAGGGAATCAAGTCTGAGACCTTCTGCCTGTCAAGCAGTTCCTCCAGCCCCTCCTCTTAGTTTGCCTCACGGTTTCATTGTGTGAACACAACATCTTGCAGGGAGGATGTTATCACTGACTTGGTGGAGCAGATTGCCGAACTCACCGCTATGATGGAGCAACTGCGGCGGGATCACCAGGCCACCCACAAGCAGGTGAGGCCCTTGAGTGGCGGCAGGGAAGGCACACTCTGCTGGCAACTTCGGAAGGGTGCAGTTTGAGAGAGACTCCGGGGCAGGAAGGGATCATTGCGACCTCTCCTGAAAAGCAATTGCTGTCAGGTGCAATGAGCTTGAAAAGCACATCTGGTACAGAGATGGAGCTGCTATAAGAATTGCCATGGGGGTGGGATGGGGTGTGTCTGATGAACCTGCCAATCCCAGAAAGATGCCCCATGTGCAGTGAACTCCTCTCAAAAGACCCTTTATAGAAAAGTCTCTTTAGGAAAATGTATCCTTTATTAAATTAGTACATCTTTCTTGCGCTTTTCTTAGCTGGAGAAAGATATGGAGGAAAAATGCAATGAGATGCAAGAGGAACATGAAAAGAAAATGAGGTCTGACTATATTATTTTATAGCTTTTATGCCAAGTTTAGCTTGTGTAGGCTCCCTGATTCCAGGGACAGAGAATGATCACACCAAGCAATTTCAAGCATAGAGGATGAATCACACCAAGCAACCCAACCTGTTTATGGCCCTGAAAGGAGAAACAAACAGCATGTGGCTTGTAGCTGTGTCCTGTGGGTGTTTGCTCACAAGTATGTCCAAAAGAGTTAGTAGAACTTCCTCCAAAGTAAGCATTTGCTTTCTTAGTGCCAAACTAGGTGCAATGTTAAGTATGTCCTTGCATTCAGCACACACAGTTTTTATTTATGCAAATGGGAGCTGCTGGGCTGTGGGTGGTGATTATTGGGGAGGATGTACTGATCCTTTCCACCTTTGCTTTGCTCCTGATGTAAATCCCCCGATGATTTGTCTTCCAGTGGTGACTGAGGCCACTCATTTTGCTATGCTGGTGTGCTTTATACCGTGTATATCGGTGTATAAGATGGCCCTTAAAACCAAAAGTAACAAAGCAAAAATTGGGGGTCATCTTATATGCAAGTCACCTTATACACTGATACATATGGTATATAATTTTCAGAGACTGACTCTGTAGCAGTCAGCTTGATTTGCACTCAGCACCCCATAGCTTTCCCCTATACCGGTGCCTGAATTTTCTGGGAAGCAGTCCCTCACTCCAGCCAAAAGCATAGTCGAATAAGACCAATTTCTGCCCTAGCAGAAAGCACACATAAGCCAGGGCAGCTGCTTGCAGTATCCCTTACTCACTTGAGCTCCCTCATCCCCAAAGAGGGCTGCTAATGGGTTTGTCGGGGGCGGGGAGCATCCAGAGCAGAGGAGTACAATAATGAGAGGGGATGGGCTGATATCAGATTCCCTGACTTGCAGGAATAGAGGCACTTCCCTTTATGGCAGCTATCCCCAACCTGGTGCTCTCCAGATACTTTGGAGTACAACTCCCAGTCTTTTGGACCATTGGCTGTGCTGCCTGCGACAGATGGGGGCTGATGTTCTCCACCTTTGGAGAATACCAGGTTGAAGAATGCAGATCCAAGGCAAAGCCCACACTGGGCAGGAATCCGGGTATGGTGAAATGCATGCCATGGTGCCTGGCAGAACGTGAGAGGAAACGCCCTTCTCCTTGCAGGGAGGTTCAAGCATTTCATGCATCGGAACTGTGTACCTTGGAAGAGCAGTATAAGAAAGAGCTGCGAAATGAGAGGGCAACCGCACAAGAGAAGCTGAGTAAGACTCTTGGCTGGTGGTTCACGAGCGTGTGTTGCTGCATGCTGGCATTTGTGAACACTCACATAAAATACTTGAGGAAAGTGCAGTTGGAAGTAGGAAGGTGGTAGATGGGCTGCCCCACGTCTGCCTGTACTTTCTCCACTCCCAATGGTAAGGCACATTTGTAGCGAAACCGTGGGAGAGTGAGGGGCATAACTTGAAGCTGAGGAATGGGGTGGTAGGAAGGGGAAACATCCGGTGCGTGTTCCCTCCCACCACTTCTCCACTGCCCCCTTCCTTTCCCTGTTCAAAATGGAAGACTCTCACAGAGTAGCTTTTAAACTGTCTTGTTATGGAGGGAACACTGATGCGGAGTTGGATAAGGTATGCCAGAAGCAGGGATGACCTGAACATTCTGCGTCCTCAGAACTGAGGATGGAATAAATAGTGGTGACTCCCAACATGGAGAGCCAATTGGAGCCATCATGGAAAACTCACCTGCAGGATACAAGCCTGTTAAAAGGAGCGCGAACTATAGATGTTTGCTTGCTAACCTTTGAAGCATCAAAGCCGAGATGCAGGAGTGCTGAGGCTTAGAAGAGAGGTGAAATGGAAATCTCAGAATCCTAGTGAAACCGTTATTACCAATGAGACTCAGATCTCCCTGGATATAAAATGTATGGAAAAGCTTTTTCGAGTGGTGCGCGGCCTAACACACACTGGCCAAAACAACTGCCCATTGTGACGACTTTGCCCAGCACTTTAAGGAGAAAATTACTCAGATTCGCCATGAGCTGGACTCCACAGTTGATTTGATTCCAAAACGGGAGGTGTCCAGAGCACCGTCTGGTCCATCATTGATGGATGAGTTTCAGTTACTGCAGCCTGAGGAAGTGGACAAGATGCTTGGGATGGTACGGCCAACCACCTGTTTCCTCAACCCTTGCCCTTCCTGGCTACTTATGAAAGCCAGCCACAGGATTGGTCCCTGGGTCCTGCAGGTGATTAACGCCTCACTGAGGGAGGGCTGGATCCCTGCCCCTTTAAAGGAGGCAGTGATCAGACCCATCCTGAAGAATGCATCCCTGGATACATCCCAGAGGCGGCCACCAATTACAGACAGGTGGCCAACATTCCCTTTTTGGGCAAGGTGTTGGAGCGGGTGGTGGCGGGACAACTCCAGGCACTCTTGGATGAAACGGATTATCTGGACCCATTTCACTCCGGCTTCAGACCCGGTTATGGTACTGAATCTGCCTTGGTCACCCTGTATGATGATCTATGCAGGGAGAGGGACGGAGGAATACATCCCTGTTGGTTCTCCCGGACCTCTCAGTGGCTTTCGATACCATCAACAATGGTATCCCTCTGGATAGGCTGGCCGGGTTAGGAGCTGGGGGCACTCCTTGTCAGTGGTTCTGCTTCTATCTGGCCGGTCGATTTCAGAAGGTGGTGCTGGGGGACTATAGCTTTGTGCCATGGCAGCTATTCCATGGAGTTCCTCAGGGCTCTTATTTTGTCCCCCATGCTCTTCAACATCTACATGAAACCGCTGGGAGAGGTCATCAGGAGGTTTGGGCTATGGTGTCATCAGTATGCTGGTGACACCAAACTCTACCTCTCATTTCGATCTAATCCAAGTGAGGCAGTGGCTGTCCTGAACCAGTGCCTGGCTGAGGTAATGGGCTGGATGAGGGCCAATAAACTGAGACTCAATCCAGATAAGACAGAAGTCCTTTTTGTAGGCAGCTCAGGTTTCCAGGTAAGTGATTTTGGCTCTGTCCTGGATGGAGTAACACTCCCTCTAAAGGACAGGGTCCACAGCTTGTGAGTGCTCCTTGACCCAGAGCTGTCCCTGGAAATCCAGGTGACAGCAGTGGCAAGGAGCGCTTTGCTCCAGCTTCGGCTGGTCCATCAGCTGCGTCCTTACCTAGACGAGCTCTGCCTAGCAACAGTGATACATGCCCTGGTAACTTCCCGTTTGGATTATTGTAATGCGCTGTACATGGGGCTGCCCTTGAAAACGGTCCGGATACTTCAACTGGTACAAAACAGAGCTGCCAGGTTGCTGTCGGGGGCAGTCGTTATTCTCATATAACGCTGGTCCTCTATCAGCTGCACTGGCTCCCAATTGAAATCTGGGCCTAAATCAAGGTGTATTAGTATTAACCTATAAAGCCCTAAATGGCTTTATTGTTGTTGTTAGTCGCGAAGTCATGTCCGACCCATCGCGACCCCATGGACAACATTCCTCCAGGCCTTCCTGTCCTCCACCATCACCCAGAGTCCACTTAAGCTCACACCGACTGTCCCAGTGACTCCATCTAGCCACCTCATCCTCTGCTGCCCCCTTCTTCTTTTGCCATCTATTGTTCCCAGCATTAGGCTCTTCTCCAGGGAGTCTTTCCTTCTCATTAGGTGGCCAAAGTATTTGAGTTTCATCTTCAGTATCTGGCCTTCTAAAGAGCAGTCAGGATTGACTGCTTAGGTCCAGATACTAAACAGCTTAGGTCCAGAATACCTGAAGTATCACCTCCTTCCCTATATGCCCTCACGCCCCTTAAGATCAGTGGGGGAGGCCTTGCTCTGGGAACCCTCCTTGAAGGAAGTATGGAGGGTGTCTACCCGGAGGCGAGCCTTCTCCGCAGTGGCGCCCAGACTATGGAATGCGCTGCCCATAGAGGTCTGCCAGGCGCCGACATTATACTCTTTCCAGTGCCAGGTAAAGACCTTTTTAGTTAACCATCATTTTAAGAATTAAGGATTTTAGATATTTTAAGATTTTCTTTATTTGTTTTACAGTTGAACTTTCTATTTTAGTTTCTTTTTCTTTGTGCATATGTTCAATTTTAAATGATTTAATAATTGTAGTTTTAATATTGTATTTTAGAATTGTTATATTATGTAAGCCATTCTGAGCACTTCTGCGGAAGGATGGGGTATAAATGCTTGTAATGAGTAGAGTAGAGTAGAGTTGGTTTTCCTGGAGGCTGTATGTCTTCTGTGTGTCACTGGCTGCCATACATTAGAAATCTTACATAGCACAAATCCAGTTACAGAGCCATGCCCATCAGTAATACAGTTTTGGGGACATGCTACTGTCTCCTAATGGTTGTCATGAGATAAAGAAACAAATTGGTCAGCTAAAATAAATACTGTATTCTGTTGTCAGTTATCATCACATAGACTGGGTCAATGAATGTTCAGGTCATGGCATGACAAAGAAAAAATTCCAGTTACAATAAATTTGACCCATGAAGCCAAGAAGAAAAGAGACCTTTGATTTAATATTTCAATGCCTGGAACTGGTTTAGAGAGACATTGCGATATTTTTAGGAATCAGTGACAAGGACACCATTGGCTTCAGCATGTATGTGAGTGGAAAATTGTTGAGAAAGTCCAGCTCAGTTATGTGTATTCCAAAAGAGAAAATGTCTTTCAAAATTAGGGGATTAATGTGAAATGCATGGAGTGAAACTGGTAACGTATTATTAATTTCCAGGAATTGCATGATGCTCAATGAGCAGGCTGCTTACTGCACATTAAGAAAAACAATTGCAGAATAAACACTTAATTCAGTAGTGAAATGTTACAGCTGGGGCATGTGAAATATTTTATTCCTCTTCCCCCCCCCCACCCCTTCAGCTGAGATGCAAAAGGAGTACAAGTATCTGAAGAATGCATTTCGTGTGTACCAGGTAAGGATTTCCATTCCCTTCAAAATGGCTAAAGGCATTGGCTGTAACCCAGAAGCACTGTGAGTCTTACAGAGCCTTAAAGGCTAACAGATTGTTTGTGACATTAGCCTTTATGGACAAGAACCTGTTTCTGCATGAAGTATTGTATAAATACAGGATTACACAACAGATAATGTGATTCTCGATTCCTTGGAATTCCTTCGAATTTTATTTTGTTCCTGTCCTGTCCTTCAGCAGAGCTTCCAGGACACTTTACAAAGGCACAATAAAAACAGAATTGGAATGTTCCCCCAGGTGTGGCCACCTTTTTAGAAAATACCCCATACATTGGAGATGCACCTGCATCAAAGGGGGTAGAACTTGGAAAAAAGATCCACAAGGACACCATCCTTTCTTCCAAAAACACATCTAGAAAAGGCGGGTGATCAGGCCATGGGTACTCTGGGGTGCAGTGTCCCCCCTTCTTCCTGCATCACAACGAATCTCCTTCCAAAGGACTTTGAAGTCTGCAAGTGAATTATCTGCAAGTGGAAGATTGCACAGAATTGCTGCCCTCTATTTGTAACCACTGACCTTTCTCTTTATTTGTTAGGACAGCATTTCTGATGAAATGGAGGAAAAGTGGCTAAGAAGGCAAGCAGAATGGAAAAAAAGTGAGAGGACTGAACGAGAGAAAGCACTGTTACAACAAAGTGAGTGAAAGAGCATCCTCCTTTTTGCAGGTTGTTTGTGTTGTTTTGGTGTGGAAATGATCTAAACCTCGACTCCTACATCTCCTTTTTGTAATTCAACACTTGCCCCCATTTAAATCGCATGCGTGTTCATCTGAATATCTCCGTATCCAAATATTTAGTTTGGACCTAGATTCTTCTGTTTATTCGGTTCCATCCCTTATGGAGGCAGATGAGTGGATGAGCTTTTAACCATTGATGTCCTGCTTGCAGCCAAAATGATTACCCATTGAATGTTTCATTTCTTGGCAAGACCAACATAACATTAAAAATAATGGAGCAATTGTTCTGGCTGTTGAAGACCAAGGCACTGATTCGCCCACACATGGAACAGTCACTTTAATTGACAGCTGATGCAGGAAGCCTGCAGCCATTTACTTGAACAGGAAGCCACTCAAAGCTGCAGGGGCTAGTCACAGAGAACAGTGGAGCATTTCTGAGGAAATAAATTAAGGCTTTTCCCATGGAAATGGGCATTGCTGGATTTCTGCGGGGAACATACTGCCACCTGAAATGCCATTGGGACCACCATTAAATTTTGCATTCAGCAGAATGTGGAAAGGTAATAGCTTTGCAGCACCTAGAAATAGCTTTCACCTAATGTGAAAACGAGCATCACTCTCCTCACCACCAGTATTCCATTAGGGATTAGCTGATAAATTACACTGTGGACTTTTAACATATGCACATTGCAATATAATAAAATGCATGAGAATTTCTGTGACACAGCACACACATTCATGACGAACATGGATCCAAAATATCTTTTTTCCCAGAACAATCCTTGACAAAGAAGTTTGAGTTGGAGATAGAGGAACAGAAGAAAATTATTCAGAATAACAGTTTTTTGATAGGTAAAGCCTATGAACAAGAAAGAGAGGTAAGCAGTGTTCCAACCAAAGAACACTTGTATTTATTACATTCTCAGGGGCTACTGCACCTTGAATTAAAAGTTTTCCCTTTTCAGGTTCTGTTCCTATTATTACTTTCTGTGTGCATGGCCTGGGGCAGGGGTTGGCAACCTTAAACACTCAAAAAGCCATTTGGACCTATTTCCCACAGAAAAGAAAACACTGGGAGCCACAAAACCCTTTTGACATCTAAAATGAAGATAACACTACATATATCATTTTTTACCTAAACAAAAATAGACTGGAAAACCAGTCTCGTCAGCAGTGAAAGCAAATGAATCTGCCCATGTACCATTAAACATTCTGTTTTCTTCTGAAACTTTTCTTTTCTTGGATTTATCCATGGTTGGCCTACCAGTGCTCGAAAAGCTCAATGTATCACGTGCCGGTGGGTGTTGCACATTGGCAGTTGTGACGCATATTTTGAGCGACAGGGAGCCTTAGCAGAGGGATGAAAGAGCCATATGTGGCTCCGGAGCCGCGGGTTGCTGACCCATGAGTAACACACGGCCCCTAACTGCTAAGTTTTACTTCCTGCAATAGCAGGCTTAAATTGCTAGGTTGTTGACATTGTCTGTATTTTCACTGCTGCTTTTATACAAAATAATGCTATTTTATTTTTTTAAAAGAAGGGCAATTAAAAAAAAGAAAGGGAAAGACATACCACAAAACCCATAACTGTGCAGAGGAAGAAACTATTTAAGGGAAGTGTGTTTGTTTGTTTAGACCTGACTCGTACTCTGCCCCTCTGTCCAAAAATGGCACTCAATGTGGCTTACAAAGATAATTTAAAATACATTTAAGCTATAAACACAGTGAAATCCAATTAAAATATTAACAAGTAAAGAATCAAAACAAACCCAAACCAACAAAGGTTCAATGTAAATAAGTTTAATTTGTTCTGTAACCATTTTTTTTATCACATTTGAAACAAAGTGACAAAGAACAACAAAGATCACGGCCATCTCCCCCCCCACCCAGCACGACTGAGATCACTCCCGTGTTCCCTGCCTGAGCGCAATCCCAACTGCAGCCATAGTTGGGCGCAATCATGGGTGCGCTCAGGGGAGAGATGGGCAGGATCGCTCGGGTGGGGTGGGGGGAGAGGGGTGCTATCAGGATCGTCACTCGATGCAGAGGTTGTACCCTGAAGTTTCTGTTTGCGACCTGATTTGGTCTTGAACTGAGTCATTCTTGAGCCAAGGTACCACTGTAGCAGTCTTGGAAGATGGCAGGGAGAGAATGATTGTGGGAATCCTGTGGGAATGGCTGCTGAACACATTCTGCTTCATGTCACCACCAAGCACGTCTCTGAAAGGGGAACTCCCCACAGAAGGCTCTGCAGGACACAAGAGCTCTTTGTGCTCTTTCAGGTGATGTGGCCTCAGGCCAGGTAGGGTTTTTGGCTCATGTCAAGCCCAGACCCAGGATGCATTCCTGGGCTGCACAGGCTGCTGGTGAGAGAAGGTTGAATTAAGTTTGCTGGCAAGCAGGTGGGTCCTCTGCCCTGTTTCCTGCACAAACCTAACAGGTTCTCTTTTCCAGGAATTTCAAAAGCAACAGCAGCACACCATGGATACCATAGTCGAGCAGACCCAGAAGATCAGGGCAAGTATGGCTGACGCGTTTGCATTTGGGCATCCGCAACATCTGTAGAGCATGCGAAGGGCGCTGTAGATCCAGGGAGGAAGAGGGCAGTCTTCCCCTCCTTGTGCCCTCCTAGTGTGGGGATGGTGGGAGCTGCAGTCTGGGGGGCATCTGGTTGGACTGATGTAGTGGGGGGCAAGAGAACAAGAGGCAGTGTGCAGTGTCCTGAACTCCCACTGATAATTAGTGGGAACTGCAACAAAATGTTGCGGTCTGGAGTGTTCTGGCTCAGCCAGGCTCCGGATCCCCCATTCAACTGTCTGCCATTTTTCCAGCATTCCAGCAGTTGGTTCCCCTTTGCCTGATTGGGGTTTTGCTTTAGCTTTTTGCCACTTGGTCTTCTATCATTATTGCTACTGCCATTGTGTTATTCCATCTCATTCATAGCCTGCTTTTTTCCTCTTGTGAGGAACCCAGTGTGGTGTAGTCGTTAAGAGCGTGGGACTGGGATTCAGACGATCTGAGTTCTAGTCCCCACTCAGCCATGGAGCCAACTGGGTGGCTTTGGGCCAGCCACAGACTCTCAGCCCAACCTACCTCACAGGGTTGTTGCTGTGGAGATATAGAGGAGGAGAATGATGTAAGCTGCCTTGAGCTCTTTGTAGGAAAAAGGCAGGATATAAATCGAAAAATAAACGAACAGACAAACCCAAGGTAGCTTACAAAGCTCAGTGTTATCCTCACAGAACACCCCTGTGAGATAGGTCAGGCTGAGAATGAGTGACTGGCCTGAAGTCACCCACCAAACTTCATGGCCAAGTGTGGACTAGAGGACCCTTTGAGACTGAGAGCCCTACTCAGCAGGCTCATTGGAGAGGATAAATTGTTACTGGACGAGCCAGAGAAAGATGCATGGCTATTCCACCACCACACGCCTGCCCTGGGAAACAAAAGAATTTGTCGTTAGTTGTTTTGCTCTGATTTGGAAACTTGTTCAAATAATGCTGAACAAAACATTGGCAAGCAAGAGCAGGGCTTTAGTTGTGCATCTAGGCTTTACGGAGTGCATCAGCAATCCTTTCTTCTGGCCTCCGCATGATGTACCTCTAGCTTGAGGGCTTTGATTAGTTGGAAGAGGCAACATAGTTCTGAGGGTATGTGTTTCAGTGTTTGCTTTTACTTGGTTTTAATTGTTGCATTCTTTTTTTAAAAATTGCTGTAAATTGAAGTTTCCTTGGAACAACAGCATAAATGCCAAACATAAAATGTATTAGTTAACAATTGTTTTTACCCAATAAAAGTCTTTGGAGGAAGAGTTGAAGGAGAAGAATGAGACCCTGCATGCCATTGCTTCATCTCTTCACAAGACAGAGCTGGAACTCCTGAATGAGGTGAGGAGGAGAAGCAGATCATCAGCCTTTTAATAAATGCCTACATAGCAGAGTTTCATTGACCAGCAATGGGGATGTTATTTATATTATTTATTACAAAACTTATTGTCTGGCTTCTGGTTGAATAGTGCTCCAGTGCAGCTGAGAATATAGTTAAAAAAGTAATTACATGCAAATGCTAACAGTGTCTTCGGTCAGTTCTGTAGTTTCCAGGAAACCTGGCAATTGGCGCCAAGTGTGTTTTCTGCCCTGCAGCTGCTGCTTCTCTGGCCAACAGATGGGGTCAGGTTAATCTCCCTTTTGACCGGGTGGTCCTTCTGGGGCATGGAAAAATCTGCCCAGTGGCCTGGTCTCCTTTTGCAGATGGCAGAAGGTGCTTCCCTTGAGCTCTGCCATCCCAGGGCCTGTGATGCTTTATGCATAGTTGTATTTATCTTACAGTTTCTGTGGCACAGTCATTTAACTATATTGCCTGGTAGTTGTTGAGCAGCCAGGACAGGTACTGCTGTAGTGCCTTCAACAGGAGTCCTTTGCCCTCCCAACCGCTGCCTTACTGGGGCTTCTGGAATGGAAGCCTTCTTCCTGGAGCACGGATCTATTGCACCTTGGCCCTCAGTGGGGGATTACTTGGAAGACTGCTGTGAGCTGTTTGCAAAGTGTTTTGCAGATACAACAGATCAGATCTGCTTAGACTCTAGTTAGCAAGAGGGAGCTTGGACTGTTTCTCCTGTTTTTGCTGGCTGCCTTCATCTGGTAGGCCGAGGCTGTGGACCAGGGGTCTCAAACTCAACTGACCTGGGGGCCGCTGGAAGTGGAGTCTGGGTGAGGCTGGGCCGCATCAAGTACTCCACCCCCGCGGTGGTGGTGGGCCGCTCATCCCACGACCGGCCCGGGCGCCGCCGGCGCTTTGAAGGCCGCAGGGCCCCTCCCCCGATCCCTGCCCGTCCTGGCGCGCAGCTTAGAGGGAACATTGCGCCCAGGGTAATGACTCACGCAGGTGCGTGTGAGAAAAACACGCGGGCCGCACTATCACTAAACTTTGATATCAAGTGGGGGGCCACAAAGTATCGTCCCACGGGCTGCAATTGGCCCGCGGGCCGCGAGTTTGAGACCCCTGCTGTGGACAGTCTGGCACAATCTGACTCACCACTTGTTGTTTGACTCTTGCTCATCTTGGATTATGGCATCATGAGAATTACGCACTTAAGGGCTATGAAGTGATGGGCACACTGTACCAGAGATGCTGAGAGGTAGTGGTGTCTGTCTCACTTAGATGAATTCTTCATCTAACTCTGTCATACTTAGATGACTTGTTGGCCTGAGATCAATGGCATGAGGGGTTTTCTTTGTTTCTATCTTACTCTTAGCCCTCCCTTTCTTACTTTACAGAAAACCAACTTAGCAGAGATGGAGAAAAACATACAGCAACGCATTGCAATGCTTGAAGAGAAACATCGAATTAATCTCGCTACTTTGGTAGAAGAAAATGTACTTTTGAGGTAGGAAAAGTAACCTTGTGAAGGCCAAGCACTAGGTCTTGGAGAAACTCTGTTAAATGGATTACAATGCAGTCTATTGAGAAGTAAGGCCCATTTAATTTGCTAATTTCAGTCTGAAAGGTTTTATTGGGGAATCATCTGTGAAGCACAGTTTATGCTGTAGTGCATGCCAGAACAGTCCAGCCCCCTTCTGTATTTGTAGCTTGGAGCATTACCGATGCCTGTGCATAAGCTAGCTAGCTACTGCTCGTGCTGGGCTACTTCAGTGCAAAATTTCATCCAACATGCCACAAATCAGTGTTCAGTATGAACCTGTGTAGGGTTAGATATACTGATACACAAACGAAGTTATTAATTTTCTCTTCAGACGCAAACTTATTGAGAAGAATGAAGAGATATTCAACGGACAGTCCCGTAGAAGCACCATCTTTGAGCCAAACAACTAGGACTGAATATGAAAAGCCTGGCAGGTGTTTAACTGATGGCAAGCTGGCAGGTCTCTGCATTTAAGGCCAAATCCCAGTGGTGGACATTATTGCTCATTTTGGTCGTTATGTTGATGAATCTGTACTGGCTACTGCCAGGTCGTCTTGTGTTGTGTTCCTCTTTGAGGCTGAGTAGCCAAACCTTTCTTGTCCTTAAATGAAAGCAAGATGAGGATCTTGCTTGCTTATACATCACCTGTTTGTTTGTACATGTAAACAACCTTCCCTTCCAGTGAGGATGTTGATAAAAGGGGCATATTCTAGCCAAATGTAGTAACTTACATATCCAAAGAATTTGAACAGGAGCAAGCAAAAAACAACTGTCCTGATTATCAGTGGATTTTTTTAAAAAAACACACCGCCTTATGCTTAAGATGCTATACAGAGGGATCAACTGATCTCTATTAAAAGTGAATGTTCGTTTGAAGTGGGTTTCAGCTCTTGCTTCATATCAATAGCAACTTTTTGTGGAACAGGTCTCCGCTAAGGTTGTGGCTGTTTAGCAAGTTTAGCAATTGGTCTGACCACCACAAAAAATGGTCTAGAGAGGAAAACATAGGAAGGCAGACTTTAGTGCTCAAATCATTTATTCCTTGAAACAAGAATGTACAAAGAGGGAGAGCTGACCAACTGTGCTTGCAGATGCTCTTAAAAGTTCTGTTAAATCAAGTATATTTTTCTCTTGCTCTTATTGAGGCAATTCTTTTAAAGGGTTGAGGTAGTACCCCTTTCTTTGTAGCTACCTTGCCAACCATTTCAGTTCAGTTTTGTCATTCTCCCAAATGCCTTGCTTCACGAGCCTAGCATGTTTAATTTATGTATTTATTTGGGTAATTTTTTACCCTGTCCAATACCCAGTGGGTCTCAGGACGGCTTCCAGTTCAAATCCCATATACATAGATACCCAAATAATACAATATAAATGATCCACAAACTGAGCATAAAAGCATAGTTGAACATAAAAAGTATGGAAGAATAAAAAGGTCTTGACCTGGCGCCAAAAAGCATATAACATTGGTGCCAGGCGGACCTCTCTGGGGAATGCATTCCATAGCTGGGGCGCCACCGTAAAGAAGGCCCTCCTCCGAGTATGTTCTCGCCTAACCTCCTTCAAGGAGGGTTCCTGGAGCAGGGGCAGCTGGACATATAGGGAAAAAGGTGTTCCTTCAGGTATCCTGGTCCCAAGCCATTTAAGGCTTTATAGGTCAATACCAGCACCTTAACTTGGGCACGGGCTTCAACTGGAAGCCAGTGAAGCTGATAAAGGTCTGGTGTTATATAAGAATAGCGACCGGCCTCCAAAAGCAATCTGGCAGCTTTGTTCTGAACCAACTGAAGTATCCAGACCATCTTTAAGAGCAGCCCCATGTAGCGTGCGTTACAGTAATCCAACCGGGAAGTTACCAGAGTGTGTGTCATCACTGCTAGGCAGTGCTCACCAAGGTAAGCGACGCGGCTGATGGATCAGCCAGAGCTGAAGGAAAGCGCTCCTTGCCAAAGTGCTCCTTACCACCTGGGCCTCCAGAGACAGCTCCAGGTCAAGGAGCACTCCCAAACTGCAGACCCTGTCCTTTAGGGGGAGTGCAACCCCATCCAGAGCAGGGCCAAAATCACTTGCCTGAAAAAGGACACTCAGTTGCAGATGTATCTGGTGGTGAAAGGACAGTCTGATGCTGTAAAGATTTATACTCCATAGGAACCTAGAATTTAAGATCTATGAATCAAGGCAAGCTGTATGTGGTCAAACGAGAGATGGCAAGACTGAACATCAACATCGTAGGAATCAGTGAACTAAAATGGACAGGAATGGGTGAATTTAATTCAGATGCCTATCAGGTATACTACTGCGGGCAAGAATCCCTCAGAAGAAATGGAGTAGCTTTCATAGTCAATAAATGAGTAGGAAAAGCAGTACTGGGATACAATCTCCAAAATGACAGAATGATCTTTCTTTGAATCGAAGGCAAACCATTCAGCATCACAGTAGTCTAAGTCTATGCCCCAACCACTGGTGCTTCAGAGGCTGAAGTTGACTGGTTCTATGAAGCCTACAACACCTTCTAGAATTAACACCAAAAAATGATGTCCTTATCATCATGGGGGATTGGAAAACCTACCAGCATAGCCATCATTCAAAACTAAGCTCCAACAACAGATGTTAAAGAAGAAATCAAAAACTTTTATGCAGGTTTGATAAACTGATAACTCACCAAAACTAGACATGGTAATAATCCTAGGTGACTGGAACACAAAAGTAGTAAACAAAGCAGAATCAAATGTAGTAGGGAAATTTGGTCTGGAGATAAGAAAAGGAGCAAAATAGATTCTTGTGAAGCCAACAATCTATTTATCACAAACACATACTTCAAACAGTGTACCAGTCAACTGTATATACGGAAATCACCAGATGGTCAATACAGAAATCAAATAGACTACATAACTGGAAGCAGAAGATAGAGAAGCTGCATTCTTGTTGCCAAAGAAAGACTAGGAATAAATTGCAGAAAGGACCATGAACCCTTAATATAAAAAATCAGAGTCAAGGTAAAAAAGATTGCCAACAGAATCAAAGTGCCAAAATACAACTTAAGTAACATCCCTGAGCAACTTCAAATCCACATAACAAATTTGCATTGCCCAACTTAATTGACTGAAACCAGAAATATTAGGAAAGAACACCAAAAGACAATTCATGCAGCAAAAAAAAAAAAAAAAAAAGAAAAAGCCTAGAGCAGCGATGGCAAACCTTTTAGAGACCAAGTACCCAAACTGCAACCCAAAACCCACTTATTTATCTCAAAGTAAAACTGCAATAAAACCTGAATACTGAGGTTTTAGTTTAGAAAAAAACAACTCACAGCCAGTCCAAGCAAATATATAAATATCCTTGACAGCGCACTGACTGGCCATGCGAAAGCTCGGACAAGTTGAAGCTAACGAGTCGTGGCTCATGGCATCATTGCCTGGCGCCGCTACTCCTTCCCGAGCATGCCCATGGCCCCTATGTGCGCTGTTATCTGATGCTCAGCAGCTGGGGCGACTTGGCTTGCGTACTGGCAGAGAGAGAGGGCTCTGTGTGCCTGCTGCGGCATGCAAGCCATAGGTTTGCTACCACTGGCCTAGATGGATGACAGAAGACACACAGTTGCTAAGGACGGGCAAGAAACAAATGCAAAAGGTGACAGAAGTAGGATCAGAATCCTGAAAACAACTTTTCAGTGACTATCACAGAAAGACCAGAAGAACTATTAGAATGATCTGTACAAAGAGATATAACAACAAAAGAGGATAAAACCTCTTCTGGAAGATCCAAGAAGTTAAAGGGAAGTTCAAACCTAGACTAACCATGATAAAAAAACAAACAGAGGAACACGCTATTTGTGTGAAAATAAAGGAGAAAACAGATGGCAGAAAGACTGTAGAGAAGAAATGTACAGAACAGACGAAAGGTTGACAGACTTCCTCAAAGAGGAAAAGCCTGCAATATCAGAAGGAAAAGTGAGCCACATGTGTGACCACAAAAAAGAACCTATGAAACTTCTCCATGATAAATGCCAGGGAAAATGTTTCATGTGTGCAAAACATGTGAATGAAAGGGCAAAAAGGTGGTACTTTATTCATCATCTCTACCAACAAAAGCAGGTGTCTCGTGGTCACCAGCAATCCTTGATCAAATCTCCCCCATAATTGCTACTGCAGCTGTTCCAATGATGGAGGAAGTTCTTTGGGGATAGGGAATATCAGTTTTTTCCTGAGGGTATAGGCTGGTTGTGGCATCTGTTTTCTTAGCCCTCGACTGTCTGCACGTCTGCTCACATCTGCATTGACTTCTGTAAGAATAGACAAGATGTCTTCTCCTCTGCAGAGAGAATTGAAAGGCAAAAGTTGATTTTAAAATGCCATTATTATTTTGTTGCTTACATTACCAACACACAATGAACTAGCACACCATATTAAGGGAAGGGAAGCATGTGCCTATTTGCAGTCCTGGATGTGGAGATCAGCTTGAGCTACTTCTGCCAATCACCTGTTCAAGGGGCAGACGACAACACTGGACATGAACTCTCAATCTGGCCCCCTCTCCTACCCAGTGTGTAAAATAACACACCACAAAGTTGTGCTTAAGATTTCAGCCACATTTCTAGCCTGACCTGGCCAACACCTTTTCCCTGGCAGGTTGCTTGTGGATTAGTCCTGGTCAAGACTTTAACTTTTTGCTGTGGGCAGATGGGCAGTGGTCAGATGAGACCTATCAGCTTATACCTTATCATCCCGTTGCTTTGATGTTGCACAAAAAGGAGGATGCCATCAAGTGCAGTTTTCCTGTGCCTGCAGCCCACAAATAGAGAGTCTGCACCTTGCTTCCTTAACAACTTTACACAACAAAGCTGTGAACATACAGTTCAATTTCCAGGAGTACATTCCTCCTGTGTGTTCCCCTTGCCTGCCTGATCTTCCTCAGATAGCTCTTTTATCTGCATCACAGTATAACAGCAAGGGATTTCCCAGCAGTATTGTCCTGGCTGTGAAACACCCTTTATCTCTAAGCTTGCCTGGTGGCCAGAGCGCAAGCTTTTTGATGCTGAATATGAAAGGCATTTTAACTTCCTCTAATTTTTAGTCATGGTGGGTTTTACCTGCTGCTGAATTGTTTATGATAAAATTGATTGTACACTGCAATGATACGCAGATAGGAGAATATAAATGTAAAAGCAAGATGATGATTTAAATAAACTATATTAATTAACCAAGTAAAAATTAAGTTGGATAAAATTGGTTTAGTGCCCTACTAACAACTTATGAATACACACTTGAGGTTAGATCCAGATTTAAACACACTTGGAACAGACCTGTTGCTTTCAATAGCCCTGCTCTAAGTATGACTAAAACTGGAAGCAAAAAACTGGTGTTTTATCCAAGGTACTGGGTTAAACAGGGGAAGGACTGCCCCGTGTTGTATTACCTGGGTACCAGGCAGCACAACTTGTCACAAAGGGCCTGAATATACCATGCTCCCTGCTGCACATGCCGGAAAGAGAGATATCCATCCACTGTGGCCATGCCAAGAAGGAAGTCTGCTTCTGCTGGTATACTTGAAGTCAGCTGTTCTGACGAGACAAATCCGGAACTTTGGGCATCTGCTCCAAGCAAGACAGTATCATGGGCGTCTGTTTCAAGGTAGACAGGCTGCTGTGACTTCTCCCCTTGACATGCCTGGATGAAAAAGAGTTTGGGCTTCTTAGCCAGCAGTGGGCACTGGTTGGCTGTGAAATGGGCCATGATGCTACGGATGGAAATAAGACATCCGTCTGTCCCATAAATCATTCCAGATTTGCCATGAGACAGAATGCAGCAGATTAGGCAATCCCTGTCTTTCCAGCTTTGAGAAGATTGCCAATCCTTCAAAAGTTCTTTAATTTCTGTTGATGTCTTGTCATCGTATCTTTTCACATCTAGCCCAAGCCATGTAAACACACGTTGCAGTTCCGCTGTGAAAAGGGAAGGGAAGGAGGGAGGGAAAGAGGTTAGCAAAAAACATGGATGCTAATTTAATAAAAAGTTGTGCATTCATTTAGCACCTACAGAAACATGCAGCAGATGTAGTCTATACCTTTACTTTTTAATATCAGTTTTCTATCATTATTAGGAAAAAAGGTTTCATACAATCACTTTCAAATGGTCTCATTTACTCGACTCTTTTGATAATCCAGTAGAATATACAAGGACCCCCACCATTTATCTCTTCCAAACTTATCTAACACTTGCTGAATTTCATGACTTGCTGTACATGGGCCAGAGAACGTTGACTCTTGGGTGGTACAGAAATGACATAATAAACACACACACTAATGACACATTAGCAATCCGCCAGTGTTTTGGACTACATTCCGCATCATCTTTCCCCTTGGTCATCCTTGCAGGGACTGACAGGAGTTGTAGTACAAAGCATTTGCCAAGTAATAGGTTGCCTCCTGTCAAAAACAAGCCATAGTTGTAACAGGAAGCATGCAGCTGCGAGGAGCAGTCAAGGCTACATACATGCCTGCTCACCCGTGGCTTGCCATGAAGCGTCACTTTGTTGTTAGTCGCGAAATCATGTCCGACCCATCGCGACCCCATGGACAACATTCCTCCAGGCCTTCCTGTCCTCCACCATCCCCCGGACTCCACTCAAGCTCTAAGCCTTCACTAACCTCCAGGTGCTTGTGACTTACCAAACCAGCTCCCTGCCTGGGAGTCATGGGTACTGCAGTTCAAAAATGCCTGGAGAGGGCAGAGCTCAACGATCACTGACATGCATTTGGGAACCCTGACTGCTTCTCGGTCACAGGAAGACCTGCACCCACATTCTGCTCCCAAGCCTCCTTCAGACTGTTTCACCCAGTGCAGGAAGGGTGGCACACTCTTTCTGCATTCCTGAACATGGCCCCTCTGCTCCATTTATGAAGGGAGCATTCCCTTCCAGCATTATGTGTAGCTGACCAAAATGAGCCGGAGACGCTGACCGTCTCAATATAATATCAACAAGAATTATAGGGCAAGAACTGAGTGTTGACAAACAATGTGGCCTCTGCACAGCAGCAGTTTGCTTATGAATTTCCTTATTCTGCTCTCAAAAAAAGCATCTCAGCGTTGTCCATCTAGCTTATGCCAGCTGAAGCAAAAGCAAGTGTTCCGTCTCAGAGAAGTGGGTAAAATGCACCATCGCGACCCTCCTCCTTCCCACAGGGTTAATGCCAAACCTAGCCTGATCCACTGCACGTATTTCTTTTTATGTCTACCAACATAAATTTCATTGAGTAACCCCTCTCTGAAAGATAAAAGCATAGTCTGACATATATTTTTTGCTTATGAAGCTGTGGGTTTTTCTTCTATGCCTAGTTCTGAATCCAACATTGTGCAAGCTTATGCAATCAGATTATGTAATAGGACTTCCTTATCTTTTCCTAACCCAAAAGATTCCACAGCATGAAACAATATAAAATTACACTTCTGGAATAATGCCCTGTTCCATTCTATATAAGCAAAGAAGGTTGTAGAAAGCTGCATTCAAGCAACAAAGGAAGACACGCCACTCAAATACAAACATTTCCTTTGCAGTTACTTACTGGCATCTTTCTGAGATCCATTCCTTTTTCCAAGACCCTTAAAATTGATATTATTAAAAATAAGGCAGTATCCTCTGTGTTTGCCATCCAGTTTATAGAGAGCCGACTTCTGTGGAGTGAGTGGGGAAAGTCAGATTTATTGTCTTAACTTTACAGTGTGAACACTAGATTCAAGGGTGGTGGCACACTGATATGTCATTGGGACTTCTCAAGAGGATTGACGTGACAAAACTAAATGTTCCTCTAACTAACTGTTTTGGCAAAGGTGGTTTATTTCACATCAGCTGCCTTGCTCTCCTAGTAGAAAAGCAACTGGAACAGCCAACCTTTAGGGATGACTCATTGCAATTCCACAACCAAGGGAGTATAACCATGCAACACTTCAGAAGTGTGTCTTAGTAGTGGTGCCCACCCTTTAGAACCCTCTCCTCCATTCAGTTTGGCAGAAAGAAATTGTGGTGCATTTTAAACACCTCCTGGAAACACATTTCTTTTAGGAGCTTTCTCTGGCCTGTGGTTAGTCATGACTGGCCAGACCAAAGGGTGGTCTAGTGGGTCGGATCCAGATTTATGCTGGCTCAGCTACATTGCCAGAAATGGACTTCCCCAGTCTGTCCTTCCCTATGGCAGCTCCTCCCGGTCCCTGAGAATGTTCCACAAAGGGACAGGAGAGACTGCAGAATGGGATGAGCTGTGGTGTGTTACTTGGGGGTGAGGGGTCCTCCAAAAATTGGAGAGATGAAACTTCTTGTAGAAGGTATATTCTGGATGCCAACCCATGCACAGTTTTCAAATTCAAACTGCAGGAAGTGCTTCTGAAAAAAACTCTACCCCCTTCTGTCAAGCAATAACCCCTCCATCCCCCCCGCATCACGTGAAACTCAGAACAAAGTGCTGCTGAACGCTCAGCGTAGACATTGTGGCCTGCAAAGGTAACAGCCCCGCGAGGAATTTCCTCCTATGTCATCTGTGTCACACAGCCCCACCCGCCTTCGTCAGTGGAGATCAGCACAGACCTACTCAGGTCACCTCTAGTAAAGAGACAAGAGCTGGGAGGTTTATGTGCAACAAAACAGACCATGTCAAGCCATGATTTGTGCCATCACAATTAAAGCAGAGGAGCAACATTAAGCTAGAAGGCAGGGGCGGGCAATTTGTGACCCTCGAGAAATTTTGCCCACTGTTCCCAGCACCTCCTACCACTGGTTATCCTGGCTAGAGGTGATGCAGATTTTAGGACAAAACAGGGCCACATGGTATCTATTCTTGTTGTAAAAAGGATTTAAATCTTAAGAATGGGCCGAAATTAAATATCAACTAATTAGAATTTAGATTAGGCCAGATGTAAGTAACTGCACATTCACTGATTATAAGGGCTCCAGGAAACCATTTTAAAGATGCCAAACCTCTGCTGGAGTCTTGGATTCATCATATGCCATAGGTGGTTGTGAGCCGGCTCCTGAGCAGACAAACCCATTTCCTACTCTGACATCTGAAAGAGAGTTACAAACAAAATCCTGGTTTGCTTTAGCTGTATTTTGTTAGATTTCTGTTAGTTGTCCAACAATTTCAGGCAATAATTAAAACATTCCTATTTTTAAAAAACCACATTAAAATTATTCACCATATATTTTGCTTCCCTCATTCATATTCACTGCAATTAAATATACTCAAGGACAGACATTTTGCTTTCCAGATTAAAAGGTGGTTCCTTGGTCCACCAACAGAACTTTTTACCAACAGTAGCATGAGCTGACAGATGGTAATGGTCATTTTGCAGCTCAGATGCTAAATGCTTCTAGGCAGGAGGAAGTTAATTATTTTTAACCAGCATAACTACTTCTCACTTGGAAAATTTACTCCAGGTTATAGCAAGTCCAATGGGGGCAGGGATGGGGTGGTGGTGGAATCATACCAGCAAAGGAATCAAGGTATTTTTGAAGTAGATTCTATTGAAGTATGTTTATTGTGATAGAACTTTCTACTTGCTTGTTAGCTTTCTTAAAGCTATTTGATTTTTGACTGAACATGCACCAAAAGTATCCCATCACATTCTCCATGTGGCTTCCCATTACTGGCAATATTTATTTCTCTTAGTAGACATATTAACCTTTGCATGAAATCTCGAAGTTCTGGGTTTAGTGCAGAGTGTCTCTGGATCCAATCGAAGGCCAGAACCAATGTTAGCAACCTTGGTATCAGAAGGAGAGATCCAAGACACATCTCCACAGCTGTTGGCTTGGCCTCCCGAAGCCTTGGTGGCATGCCAGCCAGGCCTCTGAGACGACTGCAACCAGCCCAGGATGGAGCCAGCTGCTGTAGCGGCCACTCCCATCCCCCACGCTCAGACTGGGACAGGTGTTCAGGATGGTTTGTCCCACCTCCCTGCCAAGGATATGGAGGCACCCTCAAGACTGAGACCCCTACTATGAACCTTGGAATCGAGGAGAGTTCCATCCTAAGCCCCACCTCAGAAGGCAGGAGCATGTCTTTACAGACCCTTCATTCTGCACGTCTCCATGTCTTGACAACCGGCTCAAAGCCCATATGTATGAATGCATGCACAGACAGCCACTTGAAAAATGTCAGTTACAGGTAAGCAACTGAGCTTTTTGCTTTCTGTCCTGACCTATGGGAAGGTGTAATCTTTAAAGTTTAAACAGAAATACGTCCCTCACCTTTCAGCATTCCTCAGCCAGTAGAGTTGGCTGTAGAATGTGAGGAGCTGCAGGATTTATTTTTTTCTGTCTAAACATGCATAGGGTTGCAGTGAAAGTCACTCCACCCTTCCGCATCTTCCCTGTGACCAGGATGAATGAAATGTCAGGCTTGTTTGTATTCTCACTGACTATAAGCATTTTATTTTATTGTTTTTATACCTTCTGTAAACTGCCCAGAGCGCTATGGCCAGTATAAAAATTTAATGAACAACAACAACACATTCAGATATACACTCAGATAACATGATAACCCATACTCAGATGTTAAGGGTAGGTTGTCATTGAACTATGGGTGGTTGTTGAAAGATGGGAAATCATGTTGTCTGCCCCAGCATTGCTAACATGTTAGCCACAAACCACCCATGAAGAGAGCCCAGAACTTCTTGCTGGGTTGTGAACTGTGAACTGTCCATGGTTAACAAACCATGGTTTCTTAGCACAGCTTGGTTCAGATAATACAATTAGCCATGGATCAATGGCAGCCCTCACTCAACCCTTCAGTGTGGGTTGTCTGAAACCTGTCCTGAGGAACCGAATGAAAAGTTCTTGATTGATCCATACATGACTTTATCTGCTATTAACATCCAAATTAGCACACAGCAAAGTGAATGGTGGGTGTTTAGAGGAGGCAGAGAAAGGGCGGGGGGGAACAGTGCTGTCCTGCTTCCTCACTCGAAGAAGTCTCATTCTCTTCATATAGTGTTTATTTACTGGCTTTGTTCTCAGCCTTTCCACCAAGAAAATCTGCTTTCATTCTTAGAATTTAGCCAACACAGGAAAATGACCCTCACTAAAGGGCTTTGCTCTGCTCCTCTAATTCTCAGGCTCCTTTGGTTCTCCTCCCTAACTACAAGCTTGAAATAATGAAAGCCAACATCTACAGAAAAACCTCACAAACAGACCCTGATTTTCAGCTGAAGAATACATACTTTCAGTATGTTCCCTCAAGCTCCCAGTTTCTGTAGTGTAAGAATCTATTTGGAAAAGAAAAGGAGAATTAACAGTATTTGCTGCAAACTTGCCATTAACTTTAACAGTCGGCCTTAACAACAACTATACTAAACCCTTAACATCCTGATTGTATCACCCACAGAGGGCAATTCAAATAACTCAAAAACAGAAACCAAAAAAAAAGGTGGCTTTCTTAATGTGCAAGAGTGTGTGTGTATTCTTTGGCAGGCAAAAGCCATCTCCTGGTAAAGGAGAGATTAAAGTACAGCTTGTGGTAAAGGAATTTGGAACGTGGTAACACCACAGTTCCCTTCATGGATCACTGCCTTGCTGTGGCGAAGGGCTTGTGTAGCACAACAAAGCCATGAGCTATACTGTGCAGGGCCACCCAAGACAGACAGGACATAGCAGAGAGTGCTGACAAATGTGATCCACTGGAGAAGGAAATGGCAACCCACTCCAGGATCCTTGCCATGAAAACCTCATGGACAGTACCAACAGGCAAAGAGATATGACACCGGAAGATGAGCCCCTCAGGTCGGATGGTGTCCAGTGTGCTACTGGGGAAGAGCAGAGGGCTAGGACTAGTAGCTCTAGCCCTTTGATGTGACTGGGTCAAAGCTGAAAGGACCCTCAGTTGCAGATGTATCTGGTGGTGAAAGGAAAGTCTGATGCTGTAAAGAACATTACACCATAGGAACCTGGAATGTAAGATCCATGAATCAAGGTAAGCTGAATGTGGTCGAACATGAGATGACAAGACTGAACATTGACATCTTAGGAATCAGTGAACTAAAATGGACAGGAATGGGTAAATTTAATTCAGGTGACCATCAGGTATACTACTGCGGGCAAGAATCCCTCAGAAGAAATGGAGTAGCCTTCATAGTCAATAAAAGAGTAGGAAAAGCAGTACTGGGATACAATCTCCAAAACGACAGAATGATCTCAAATCTAAGGCAGACCATTCAACATCACAATAGTCCAAGTCTATGCCCCAACCACCGGTGCTGAAGAGGCTGAAGTTGACTGGTTCTATGAAGGCTTACAACACCTTCTAGAAATAACACCAAAAATGATGTCCTTATCATCATGGGGCACTGGAATGCTTAAGTAGGAAGCCAAAAGATAACTGGAATAACAGGCAAGTTTGGCCTTGGAGTACAAAATGAAGCAGGGCACAGGCTGGTAGAATTTTGTCAAGAGAATACAATGGTCATAGCAAGCACTCTTGTCCAACAACCCAAGAGACGACTCTACATATGGACAACACCAGATGGTCAACACAAAAATCAGATTGACTATGTGCTCTGCAGCCAAAGATGGGGAAGCTCTATACAGTCAGTAAAAACTAGACCAGGAGCTGACTGTGGCTCAGATCATGAGCTTCTTGTTGCAAAATTTAGGCTTAAATTGAAGAAAGTAGGAAAACGCACTAGGCCACTCAAGTATGACCTAAATGATATTCCTGATGAATATACAGTAGAGGTGACAAATAGATTTAAGGAATTAGATCTGATAGACAGAGTGCCTGAAGAACTATGGACGGAGGTTCACAACATTGTACAAGAGGGAGCAACTAAGACCATCCCAAAGAAAAAGAAATGCAAGAAAGCAAAATGGCTGTCTGAGGAAGCTTTACAAACAGCTGAGGAAAAAAAGGGAAGCGAAAGGCAAGGGAGAAAGAGAAAGATACACTCACTTGAATGCAGAAATCCAGAGAATAGCTAGAAAAGAATGCCTTCTTAAATGAACAATGCAAAGAAATAGAAGAAAACAATAGAATAGGGAGGACCAGAGATCTCTTCATGAAAATCGGAGATATGAAGGGAACGTTTCATGCAAAGATAGGCATAATAAAGGACCAAAATAGCAGGGCCCCAACAGAGGCAGAAGATATTAAGAAGAGGTGGCAAGATTATACAGAGGAACTATACAAGAAAGAGTTTAACATCCCTGATAACCACGATGGGGTGGTCACTGATCTCGAGCCAGACATCCTGGATTGTGGATTCAATGGGCCTTAGGAAGTCTGAGCAACAACAAAGCTAGTGGAGGTGACAGTATTCCAGCTGAGCCATTCAAAATCCTAAAAGACGATGCAGTAAAAGTGCTACACTCAATATGCCAGCAAATTTGGAAAACTCAACAGTGGCCACAGGATTGGAAAAGGTCAGTTTACATTTCAATCCCAAAGAAGGGCAATGGCAAGGAATGTTCAAATTACCACACCATTGCACTCATTTCACATGCTAGCAAAGTTATGCTCAAAATTCTACAAGCTAGGCTCCAGCAGTGTGTGGACTGAGAACTACCAGAAGTACAGGCAGGATTTCGAAGAGGCAGAGGAACTAGAGATCAAATTGCCAACATATGTTGGATCATGGAGAAAGCTAGGGAGTTCCAGTAAAACATCTACTTCTGCTTCATTGACTATGCTAAAGCCTTTGTGTGGATCACAACAAATTGTGGCAAGTTCTTAAAGAGATGGGAGTACCAGACCATCTTATCTGTCTCTTGAGAAACCTATATGCGGGTCAAGAAGCAACAGTGAGAACTAGACATGAAATCACTGATTGCTTCAAAACTGGGAAAGGACTTCAGCAAGGCTGTATACTGGCTCCCTGCCTATTTAACTTATATGCAGAGCACAGGATGAGAAAGGTAGGGCTAGATGAATCACCAGTTGGAATTAAAATTGCTGGGAGAAATATCAACAACCTCAGATATGCAGATGATACCACTCTAATGGCAGAAAGTGAAGAGGAACTAAAGAGCCTCTTGATGCGGGTGAAAGAGGAGAGTGCAAAAGTTGGCTTGAAACTCAACATCAAGAAAACTATTATCATGGCATCCAGTCCTATCGCTTCCTGGCAAATAGATGGGGAAGAAATGGAGGTAGTGACAGATTTTATTTTCTTGGGCTCCAAGATCACCACAGATGGGGACTGTAGCCAAGAAATTAAAAGACGCTTGCTCCTTGGGAGGACAGCTATGGCAATCTAGACAGCATACTAAAAAGCAGAGACATCACCCTGCCGACAAAAGTGCGTAAAGTCAAGGCTATGGTTTTCCCAGTTGCAATGTGGGAAAGCTGGACCTTAAGGAAGGCTGAGTGCCGAAGGATTGAGGCCTTTTAATTGTGTTGCTGGAGGAGACTCCCTCGAGTCTCTTGGCCTGCAAGGAGATCGAACCAGTCAGTCTTAGAGGAGACCAACCCTGACTGCTCTTTAGAAGGCCAGATACTGAAGATGCAACTCAAATACTAATAAGAAGGAAGGACTCACTGGAGAAGACCCTAATGTTGGAAACAACTGACATCAAAAGAAGAAGGGGAAAGCAGAGGATGAGGTGGATAAATGGAGTCACTAAAGCAGTCAGGGTGAGCTTAGGTGGATTCCGAGGGATGGTTGAGGACAGGAGAGCCTGGAGGAGTGTTGTCCATGGGGTCATGATGGGTCAGACGCGACTTCACAACTACCAAGCAAGCAACACAACAGTAAAAGTTGTGGGGGTGGGGAAATGGAAGTAGGCTTGTCCTGCTCACAGGGTGGCATTTGAGGAAAACTGAGCCAAGTCTTTCTAAGAACGTTTTATTGGAAAGCATAGAGTGTGCTTTTCCCTCTGTCACAAAATTACCATAAGATACAAAATCAAATCTCAGTTAGCCTTAGACTGAGTCATACCATATCATTCAGCCCAGTACTGCTGACACTAACTGGCAGTGGCTCTCCAGGATTGCGGCTAGTTTTTACTGCCTTCTGGAGATGCTGGGGATTGAACTTGGGACCTTCTGCATGCAATACCTATGTCTCAGCTATGGCCCCTTTCCTGATTAGTTCTGTGAAAATCCCACGGAGCTGCAAAAAGGAGTCTTGCAGGGATAACTTTTTCCTGATCTTTATGGTGGTCAGAAAGAGCTAACCAATTCTGAAATCAAGCCACAGTTGGGCATGTCTCATAAATCTGTCTGGTTCAGGGTGTGCTGAATTTATTTCTAAGAAGTGTATACTGCTTTGTTTGCCCAACTTTCTGAGGGTAAACAAGCTGGTGTCATGGTGAGGTCAGTTTCGTCTGGGAGCACCAGGCGCTTCTTTGGTATCTATCAGCCAGGAGCAGGCAGAAGGGGAGGGGGCAAACCCATACTGAGGAAACAAGCTGTGGTTTCTTCGCCCATCTTCAAGACTGAGCCCAGGCCGTTCAACGAACCACAATTATTGTACGGCTTAGAGTGCCATGTGGATATGGCCATTGTGTCAACTATCTCATAAAACAGTTCCCTTCTGATTATTAACAGAAGGAATTGCTAGAGCACAATCCTATGCGCATTCGCTAAGCAAGCACTTCTACATTCTCTACATAAGCATCTTAACAAATGTAGCTGAACCTCAGATACTCTCATCAGAACACAACTGGCTTCTTCAGAATGCAAAACTGCATTCTAATGATCGCACGCCATCTCACCTCTAAACGGAAATCAAAACGGGTTACTGGAGCAAGCCTCACTGAGAATACCTATGTTCTTACGACTTGCAAAACCTACAGTCCAAGAGGTCAGAACTGTTGAGGATGCACACAGAGCTTCTCATTTGAACTCACACCCTATACCATTTATAAAGCCCCCTCTTGCTTGGCGCTCAGATTCCCCCACTGTCCATCTCTCCTTGTATCAGTCCTGTCATTCTGCCAGTGGCATGATGTTGCTTCCAAACAGGACTCGCCTATTCGCTCCTTTCTGTGGCAGCCTCTTGCATGTCCTCCAGATCTTCTTCAAGGAGTTGTGGGACCATCTGGAGGTGATCTGGAGGGCAGGCAGCAGGAAGGCAGGTAGAGGATGGGACATCCCATTCTGCAAGTGATATGCTCTTGCTTGTGGAAGAATGGTTCTGGATTTAACCCATCGTTTATGTAGTATGAGCCTCAAGCTGCTAGAGGCAGGGCCCTTTCACCCACAGAATAACCTCCCTCTAGAAACAAGGAATTTCTCCTGCATTTTCCATCAATCATTTGGAATGTCTCCCACAGGCAACTTTTCTGACTAGCTAAGACTATTCCTAGTTATTTTGTTACATGTTCTAAAACACTGTTTTCATTTATTTTTTATGAAGACAGATGTATAAATATCGCAATCTCTTACTTCCTCCCATCTCCAGCAATTGTGGCTCACACAAACGTGGAACAGCACAATTCTTTCTATTACCCCTGAACTGGTAAGCGATGGTGCTCTTTGCCATCTTTTGCCACGATTCTTGTGACAGGACTTCGTAGGACACTCTGACCCAATCGCAAGAGTCGCCTTACGCCAAACGCCCAAATGCCGCAGCACGCTACTTTCAACAAGACTTACCGTGACTCCTTGGTAGCTGTTCAACAGACGGTTCCTGGAGGGGAAACAAACCCAGTAAGATAAATTAACAGCGCAATCCTGCGAATTGTTTCCTAAGAGGCATGATCCGCTGAGACCAACTGGACTTACTCGCAGGCAAGTGGGCACAGGAGTGAAGCCAAATACTGCAGTCTTAAACGAGTGATGCTGCATAGAGGACCCCCTCTGTATATCTGAAGCCCTGCTCAGCAGGGTGGGAGGAAGGAGAGGGGCATTTTCACCTTTGGTTCCTCCCACCTGCTATTTGTAGCTAGACAGGCCTCTCAGACCACCCCCCTGGCTCACCTCTTGGCAGGGAGGGGGAGGCTCACAGGCAAGCAACATTTAGTTTTTCTTTGCATCTTTAGAAAACACTATACCATCCCATTTTAATAGCTCTAGAATCACTAATCTCATCAAATGAACTAGCTTCAGCTTTAAAAAAAATGGGGAAATGAGGGACATTGTGGTTAAAAAGAACATTAGCTTCTACATGCAGTTAAACCAGGGGTGGCTCATGGAGCAGAATCAATTATCCAATGCATTGCATGACCCATACACTGAGAATGATATTTGTGAGTTACACCGATCAGGGATTCTAGTTTGTCATTCCAAAACTAAAACTAGCTGGCAGAGCTGAATAAAGCCTTAGTCAAAAATGACCAGCTAGTACACCTGTTGTACAATGAGAGATGTTGAGGCTGAAAGAGAACTCACATAATGCAAGTCACGGCAAAGCTTCCTGTCTCTTCTCTAATAGTCAGAAATCTGGAGATCTCTTGCAAATAACCTTGAGATCTACCTGTTGATCCCAGTCTGCATTCTGCCAGCCCCCAGTTTTAACCATCTTGCGTATGCAAGACCCCTCCCCAAAAAAGGAAGTGGAAGAGAGGAAAGGAAAAAAGAACTGCCTAAAAAGCAAAAGGTATGGCTTAAGGTCATGCCTGCTAGGGATGATGGGCATTACAAAGCAACTCTTCTGGAGGACACCAGGTCAAGAAAGGCTGTCCTAAAAGTAGCTACTAAAGACGGAATATTAAGGACAGTACTTGGATGGGAAAAAAATATTCCTGACAGCATACCTGAATTGAAATGTTTCCGAAAGATGATTCTTTAAATCCACGCACAGAGGAGAGTGCAGTTTCTTTGCTTTTCTGTTTCAATGCTGAGAAACAGATGAGAACAGACAGTAAGGAAGTCTAAGAAGTGTTGCTTGATCAGAACTATTTCTGCATGGGTGGCTCATCCTATGAGAATGGAATTCCCCAGTTGTCAGCTTAAAGGGTTAAGCAGAGGGATATCTAGACCCTCAACTATGAACAAACAGAATGGATTTATTTTAGCTTATCCTGGTGACCCGTTTAAAAGTGCCTGTTTCTGCTATCTGAGGAAGTTGCAGCCTACTAAACTTTTGGTCTACAGCTCCCAATATTCACAACCATTGGTCATGCTGTCTTGCTGAGAGGGAGCTGCAGTTGAAAACATCCCAAGGGTACCAGGTCAGAGAAGGCCGTGCTAAGGCATCTTGTCCCTAAGGTAAAGACAGCCAACCAATAATCAGAGGTATATTTTTATGTACCTCCAAATCACATCCAACAAAAGCACCCTGAAATATGGATACATAACAATAATCAAAAAGCAAATGACTCCCTCTTCTTCCCTTGTGGTAGCAGGTGAGCAAACTAGAGGGTCTTCAGGCTCAGGGGATGGCCATGAAGAGGTTTACTTGCCCCCGGTAAAGAGCTCCCTGTCTTCAGATGCTCTCAGCTGGTCATGCTATCACAGCCAGGGAACTGCAAAGGCTGCAGGATGCCTGCTTGGTATGCAGGAGCTCTCCGGTTCAACTGTGGCATCTCCAGGTAGGACTGGGAAATATCTCACCTGGCACCCTGGAGAGCTGCTGCCAGTCAGAGCTGATAACACTGGGCTAGACTGACTCAGTAGGAGTCCTCAGCTTCTGAGCATCTCAGCAACATGGGTAATCTATTGATGGGACCAAGAAAGTGGCCTCTCTCCCCAGTTTCCTTCACCACCCTCTGCTACTTCAAGCTGCCTTCCTCCAGCCTGGCCAACAGGAAGAAAACAGCATAAACCAGCAGTGTGCCACAAGGCGAAGTAGAAGTGGGTGTAGCAGTTGCTCTGCTCCCTGGGCTTCATTTATAGTATAAAAAGTTAACCCTCCCAGACTTACAGCCAAAAAGGTAAGCATATATTAATCAAACACATCTGCCTGCTTTGGTCCCTAGTTACATAGTCAATTGCCTCAGACAAGACAAGAACTATGTATGTTTTGGTGAGCTTGGGTGGACAATACATCCTAAAAAATCAGACACCTTTTCTTTCTTTGAATGTCTCCAATTTCCTCAGGAGGTCAGGTGATATTTTGAGACAGATTTTTTCCAGTGTTTCCAAGTTGTCTTCTTCTAAAAGGTCTTGCTTCTCCATGGACACCAGCAGTTCTAGGGAGGACTAGGAACAAAAGCAAAAGTATCCATTCTGCCCGTGAAACTTGACACTCACATCATCACACGCTGAGTCATCAAGTCTTTCTCTACTGTCTGCACAAGCTTTAAAGGCAGTCAGAAATCCCCACATGTTGCTTCTGCTCCTGAATCAACTGAAGTGATGAAATTATTCCTGGAACCAACATATGAATGGGTCTAATAATTCCCTGCAGTGCTGCAAGCTTAGTCTGTTTTGACACAGTGATTTGTGGTTCCAGAAAATTGTGGAGATTCAGGGGTTCTGAATAAATTCCTGGGGCCAAAAGAATTTTCATGAGTCCTAAGATTACCATCAGAAGTCCTGCTCTCTTGACCATCATGGAGATTGGATTAGTTGGTGTAAGGGACGGGACATTCATGGTGGCATCAGAACTATGACACCAGAACTGCAGTACAAGCTATCTGGAGAAATCTGCCAAGCCTGGCTTTAGACCTGCTCTGACAAACTTTATATATGATAAAGTTTGTGTGATTGATTTCATACTTCTCGCTACATCTTAGACTTTTGCCAATGTAGTTTTAATCAGTTTGATACGGTGTAAACTGCACAATTTTAATGGTTGTACTATTGTACAGGATGTTTTACCATTTTAATGTAATGGCTGTTTCCCTTTCTCTTTTCTGTGAGTTTCTGAGTGGAAGGTGTGTGTGTGCATGTGTGCGTAGGGGAGATAAAGTACTGTAACAGGATAAAATATGCCTGAGATTGAATAAATTAAGTATAATCCTCTCAAAGCAAGGTTTCAGAATTTCAGAGCATCCAAACGTACCCTTTAAACAGAGGGTAATGCTGAGTAATCACAGACAAGGGATGTGACTGCAGTCACCTTGGAAGCCCTTTATTAAGTGGTGTACCAAGTGCCCATTTCACCAGGTTCCTGTACTAAAACCCCCTTTATGAAGAACCGGCAGTGCAACCCAACAGTCACCCTGTGGGGACCTCACTCTAATGGTATTATTTATTTATTGTTAAATTTGCTTAAAGGCTGCCCACTAGCATCACACTCCCTGGGTGGCCATTACAATAAAATTACCAGTAGGTAACAAAAATAAAATACAGTTAAACTACACAAGATAAAATGACATATATATAATCAACAACAATAAAACGTAAGTTAGTTAGTATTACGTATGCATGCAGCTGCAATGCCAGTGCCCTCTATGGCTGATTGCCCCTTCCATGTGACTTTCACTCAATTAACATCCCAGCAATTCCTTTGCTTTCCAAAAAAAAAAAAAAAGTACAGACTGAAGCTATGTCCCAGCCCTATTCTGAAATTCATGAGGTTTGGTCAGACATATACTACTAGTGAACAGAATCCACCCCGGAAACTATTTCCAGAGGGGCAGTCCCGTTCATGTGTGGTGCAAAAACAACCAAGTATCTTTTGCAGCACCTTAGACTGGCATATTTATTACGGACTAAGCTTTCACACACTGTTGGCTGATGTCCTCCAAGCCTAACCCTAACCCCTCTTTTTATAACCTGCATCCTCTTAAACCACATAATCTAGCATCGGCATCAACAGCCTTTTAGGGTAGAATTTTATGTGTGTGAAAGCAGAAAGAAACCCCACAATTCCCAGCATAGGTACCTGGGGAACGCTGGGTGTTCATTTTATGTAAACATGCCTAGGATTGCATCCTTGGGCATTTTCCCCAGGCCACTAGTATCCCAGGCCACTAGCAGGCTTTTTTTGAGCTTCCCCCACCCTCTTCTAAAAGGTTACAATGCTTCCCCAAGTGCAAGAATTAGAGCTTTAAGTTAAAATACGCTGGATTTTTTTTTGGGGGGGGGGTTTGACCTGTCTATTTTGTCTTTGTCTCTCTCGCCTACTCCCAGAACATTGCTCCCAAGAGCTCCTCTAAAATGGAATTTGGCCAGAGTGCTGGAGGAGTTCAACAGCCCTGCCTCAATCTTTACTCACCACTGTAGAGTGCTTCTTTGGAAGATGGTCCTTCAGAAGGAATGTGGCAGTCTTCACATCTTCCTTAGTGAGCCCTTCTGATATTTCATACAGCATCTGTCTGTGTGACAAGTCTTTTAAGGGAAGCTACCTTGGATTATATAAGTTTCATTTATCCTCCTTTTGCAACACCCTCCTCAACCATAGGCCTGGCATATTTTGCTGCCTTAGGTGAAGACAAAGCAGTGCCCACTTCCCAACAGACATCACCAAGGTGGAGACTTGAATCTTAATCCACCACGAACGGACGGTTCTGTCTTGCAAATATGTGTCTCTAGCCAATGAGGCAAACCAGCTGCTTCACTCTGCTTGATGACTGGCTGGCCAAGCCACCAATGAGTTCCATGGCTGAGTGGGGGCCAGGACACAAATTGCCCGAGTCCCAGTCTTGCACCACACTGTAACCCAAACCATCACAGTTCTTCTGAACCGGAAAGTCTCATGAACCTTATTCAAGCACAGGACAGCATCCAAGAGGATACATACCTGTCCCTCAGTGCCACCAACTTTTCTATGCCCTGCCAGCTCTGTGGTGCAAGCTACCGCCATTGCTTGTGCAATGGCACTTTAGTATTTCCAGAGCAACCTAAAACAAGTGGAAATGGAAGGAGGCAGGTCAGCAGAATCCACATAATGGAGCTCCACCCACCTGACTTCTTTCAGAAATGAGCATTTCCACTCATTTCAGCATTTGCCCTTGGATGTGCTAAATTCACTGTGTATGAATGGTGGGCCTACCTGAACAGCAGAAGCCACAGTACCCACCCCTTGGAACTGGTGGTGACAACAAGAGGCATCAACAGGGGAGCAAGCACTCTCCCGGATTCTGCCCAAGCAGCCCAAAGTATTCCCTTAAATCCAAATAACAAAAATGCTCCATACCCAGCAAAAGGAAGGAAATAATATCCAATCAATGCTTTTCAAGCAATAATAATTTTCAGACAGTTATATCTGCCTTTCCTTCCATAAAGCCCAAAGCAGTACATGATCCTCCTTTCCATTTTATACTCGCAAATACCCTGTGAGGTAGGCTGGGCTGAGATTCAATGACTGGCTCAAAGTCACTCAGTAAATTGCCGGGCTACCTGGGGATTTGCACAGGGGATTCCTTAGTCCAATGTGCTAACTGGTGCCACACACAGGCTTTCGTGAAATACTCACCGGTATTCAGAGACTTTGCCTTTCACAGACAGCTCTGCTTGAACTAGCTCTTTGGTGTAGCCAATTTTAGGGAGCAGGAAGTTAATCTTCATTCTGTAAAGAAGTTCTGCAACAACAAATATGTTCTCCTGACTTAGTAAGTCTTTATTGATCAGTAGCTGGAAAATGTCCTGTGCAGATTTTACAGTCTCCAGCTTCTTTAGGGGGATCCAGTCACTACAGAGAAATTTAAGAGCTTCCACATCCTCCTGACCCAGGTTTTCATCGACAACCAGAAGCTGTCTGCGAAATGTCATGCTATCACTGTCTTCCATGATGGCAGATTTCCTTAGGAGCTATGATTTCTAAAAGAGGAGAGAGAGAAAATCACTGAAGTATAAAAGGCAAAATGGTAGCTACAGACAATATACAGCTGATTAGAGAAGTGAAGGTCTAGAAAAAAGAATATTAACAAAATGGGGCAAGGGAAAGCAGAAAAATTTGGAAGGGGTTTTTAAAAAATTCTGCCCCCCCCATACCTAGGACCTTCACAACTCTTCATTAGACTAACCAAACAAAGGTAAATGGTAAATGCACAAAATGAACTGAAAATGGGACACCTGGCAGAAACAGCAGGCATTGGTGCGAGCTAAGCAATTTTGCCCATTTTAAGCTGAACACAAATAGCTGAACAAATGATCAGACAAGAAGAATTGGAGAAAAGATAAGCCAGAAGTGTCACCTCTGGAAAGTGACAACTCCACCGAGGGACAGAACATGCTCATAAAGACACTGGATCTATGTTCAGACATATTGAAAACATCAAAGCCATGTTCTGCCACAGGTTGTTACACAATTATACCATCCCACCCAAAGTACATACGCAACAGAGTTTTTCTCAGAGCACAACAAGAACAGAAGGCACTGTGCATCTCATACCAACAGTACTTCCCAATCTATTAATACTTCCCAGACTAAGTTTGATGTCTTCTGTAATGAAAACACACTTTTGTGTCTAAAATCGGCAACGGAAGCTTTTATTTATTTATTTATTTATTTAGGAGACTTCTATGCCGCCCCATTCGCCGAAGCCTCAGGGCGGCTCACATCCATAAATAAAGTTCCTTAAAATAATATAAATTAACAGTATAAATTAAGTCGCCCTGGCCAAAAAATAAAATGAATAAATACTATTAACAATTAAAATGACATTTGAATAAAAAGGTCTTCACCTGGCGCCGAAAAACAAATGACGACAGCGCCAGGCAGACCTCTCTGGGGAGCGCATTCTACAGATTGGGCGCCACCGCAGAGAAAGCCCTCCTCCGAGTACTCACCCTCCTAATTTCCTTCACGGAGGGTTTCCGGAGAAGGGCCTCTCCCGCAGACCTCAAGGGGCGGGCGGGCATATATTATCAATAAAATTAGTGCAAATATAAATCTCATAGCTTAACTCAGTATTCTCTACTCTGCCAACTTCCAGATGTTTTGGATTACAAGCCCTATCATTCACAGCCAGCAAGGCCAACAGACTGGAGGGTTCTTGGTTGTGGAGCAGTGGCCTAATGCAACAGCTGGCAAAATCAGCAAACTGCAGAACAGCAACAATTAATAATTTGAGGCCCTGCCAGTTGTCACAGAAATGCCAGAACATCACACCTAACAAACGCCGGAAAGGAAGTGGCTATTCAAACAGACACAAGCAGAGAGGTTTTGTAAAAATCTCTGTTACAAACAGGGTGGACTCATAATGACCTCTGCTTGCTTGTCAAGGACAAATCTACAAACTTTGCAATGATCTTCATGGGATCTTACAGGGTAGGCTATTGTTGGTAGGCTATTGTTAAGGATAAAATCCTTCTAAAGGTGGCTTTCTATAGGTATCATAAAACACACGTCAAAGTAATAAAGCAAAAAACTTCCAAGCAAAATTAACCACAAATAAAGAACAGCAATATCTAAAACACTGCACACATGATTTTTTTAAAATGCATGTTTGAACAACTTCAGCAAAAATCATTTCAGCTTGTCAGGAAAGAAATCCCACATTTTAAAAAGCAGAGAAATGAACTACCATGTATCTTTTGCTGTCTTCTGAAGACTCGTCAAGATGGGCCCCGGTATGCCAAACAAGCAGTGCATTCCACTGTGCCTGGCCAACCCCCCCAAACTTTAGGACTGTCCTAGGCATGATTCTCTGGGAATATGCTCCACGAAGGGCACCATCCAATGTGCTTCCTCCACAGTCCTCTGAGTTTATACGATTACGGGCATCTAATAGATGGTGGGAGGAGAACAGAAGTATTTGGGAGGGAAACAGAAATTTCCCTCCCAAATACTTGGGTGGCCAATTTTGGCTATCTAAGGGTTCCACCGTGCTCATGAAGAGAGGCTGGGGCACCTGCCCACCAACTCTCAGCACCATGCTGGTTTGCAAGGGCAGAGAGAGGACATTCTGGATTTGATGTCCCAGTTTTGAGCTTGGGAGTGTTCTGAGGTTGCAACTGGGACTCTGACTTTTCCTATGGCAGTAAACACAGAGCCTGACAACCAAAGAATTGCACCCTGAACAGAACACATAATGCATAGAATCACTCTAAAAGTGTTCTAATATGCAAATAGTACATGATTAGAGGAGCACAGTTATAGATGGTGTTTTTAATGTTGTGAAAGCAATAAAATAAGTTTAGGTTCGGTAAGAAAATATATACTTCAATTTCTCCTAAAATGGCTGTTTATCCCTATGGTAGAAGGAAAATGTGCTGTGTTTTGTTTTGTTTTTTTGTGACTCCAAAATTATGGGACATTTTATATCTCTAGTAAAGTAGCGATTATTTTAAGACACAATGCCTATTTCCTGTGCAACAACAAGCCAGGTGCTGCTAAAATGAGACTGAATTCTGGATCAATTCTCCTCCTGGTCAAGTGAGAGGAGATTGGAGGGAAAATCATGTCAACCCAACAATTCACATGGGCTCTTTTCTGCTTCTCCACATCATGTTAAGTGTAATTTAGTATTACATGTAAACACTGTTAGTGGTAACAAAGAACTGAACTGAAAATGAGTTTATGACAAAGGGAACCATGCAACAAAATATATGTAAGATGATACAAAGAATTAAAGAAGAGGAAGAAATGCAAACAGAAGGGTGGTTTTAGGTGTAGAAATAAACTGTGTTCTCACAAGAACAAAGTTGGATAAGGAAACGCAGTCAGTGCTCTTATGTGCCAGCATCACGTCAGGAAGCAAAGAATAATGGAGTTGCACCATTGTTCAGAAAACATATGGAAAAGTTCCAATAGAAAACTTAATTTCAATCAGTGATTTAAATCCACTTTATTCCTTGCTAGTTTAAATCACCTTCAGTTAAATCAGTCTATCTTCCACAAATCACTTTCCTACCATTATTGTATGACATCAACATTAGGGAGAAAAAAATGCCAAGCTGAGTCACAAAGATGGTATTTGCAGTCTTCTTTGCACCTTCCTACAACTTCCAAACCCTGCCTGCAATGTCACTAATAACTACCTGTTAAATATTACCAACATGTAGTTTTATTTATTTCATTTTTCCTCTAAGGAGCTCAACAGCCAACATTCAGACCATTGCATTTTTAACCACACATCCATCCTGTGAAGTGACTGAACTAAGGCTACCTAGTGAGGTTTGTGACTGAATGGAGATTAGAATCTGGGTCTATTCACAGTCTTAGTCTGATGCATTATATAAACCCATCCTTAAAGACACCCTGAGTGCTACACGACAGCAGATTTAGAGTAGAACTAGGCAATCTGCTTGCTTACAGATGTTTAGCCTGTAACTTCCATAATTCCTGATCAGTGTCCACAGTGGCTGAGGCTGGAGCAGCAATACGGAATTATGAAAACTATGGATCAGCAGATCTGTGGGTGGCCCACAATGGCAATGTGGACAGAAATAGGATCCTGAAACATGGTTCTTCCCTGCTCCCTTTCAGCTAAGATCTCAGTTGTTTGAAGACTTCCCAGAGATCTGTGGAGAGATGTTTAGAGGGCAAATTCACATCTACCTGATTTGGGAAGCAAGAAGCCCATACAAAAAGCACTGTTTTGTTCTAAAAATAGGCCTTCATACAAGATTTTTTGGGGGCGGGCAGTATGTGACAATTACTGTGTTTTATTCCTCCACTACACCCGGTCTTAGCGTTTCCACTTGGACGTGGCTATAACTCACAACAGTGAGCCCTCAATGCTCTACTTGAAATAGGTGGTGGGTGCCAGCAGGCCCAGAAGGCAGAATAAATTTAGATCCAGCCGCATGTACAGAAGCATAACAAAATGCCAATTCACACAGGAAGTCCCCCATGTTAAAGTGCCACTTGCTACTCTAAAATTAATGACAACTGGCTTTCTAAGGAACTACAAATACAGCCTTCGAAGTTCAGCGATATGAGCTCTCCTATCACTGTGCACCCAACTGTGTCTTAATACCAGGATTTTCTGAAATAAGTTCTAAATTCTTATTTTATAAGTCCCTCTAATGCTATAGGACTTACTCTTGCGTCAACACACACAAGCAGCCATGGTCTCAAAGCAGTCTAAAAAACAGGGCTGTGTCTTCTCAGCTTGGAGGAAAAGGAATGTCACCCATCACTTTCTAAATATGCTCGGCTTCAAAACTCTAACTGGAAGTTTTAAAAGGCCGTCTGAATAACCAAAAGGGCTTCCTTGAGGAATTAATCGATCTAGTTGTTTCCACAAATGAAACCTTACAATATAGAAGTGCTTTTGAAGACTGAAGAGGGCAGGGAAGGTGCCGTCTTGGCAATGCAACCTTCCACAGAGTAAAAGAGGCCCCTTCTAAGATGGTGTCTGCGATGCTGCCACATGGATGCTCAAGACCTCTAAAACAAGGGCGAGAATTGTTCCCCCTGCACTTCACGACGAATGTCCCATTCTGATTCAGGCCAATTAAAAACTGCAACAGGAATTAAAATGTGTGATAATTTAAAAAAAAACAACAACCCTCATAGAATTAACGGAACAGGTGCCAGTCCTAGTAGTAAGGGCAGGCCAGGAGACCCTATCAATTTTACAGGACCAAAAGATCTGTGGAATAGTTTAGGAATACGCCTTTATGGGGAAGCTGAAACCCTTATCGAAGGCTCCGCATTCATTCTGCTACCAGGGGCCTGTTGCCACTTTTTACTTCCTTTCCCTTCCAGCTCCTCGGTGCATAGGAATTCCCACTGGTCCGTTTCTCATTCCTTGAGAACTTTTACAACTTTCCCTGCATCGCTCCCGCGAAAATGGAGCACACGTTCCTTATTCAGGTTGGCGGGAGCGCCTCTGCAGCCTGCAAATTTAAACGGCAAAGGGGCTGATTTCCTGGAAACCAGAGATGGGGTGGTTTTTTCCCCCTCCTCTGGGGGACAAACTCGCGTTTGATTGCCTTGACCAGACACAAACTTCTAGACAATTCTTTAGCTTTAGGTCTAAGAAAGTCCAAAGACGGGGAAAGGATTAATACATACCTAACTTTCTCGGAGTTTCCTCCCACAGTCCATTCGAAAGAGACTGACAATACTAAAAACGCTCTGTTAGAGAAAGTTAATTTGCCGTGTGCATCAAGTCACACCACATGAGATTTCCCCGCAGCTAAGCGTAGGAAGGGCGAAACAAAATCCTCGCAACTGCTCCCCATCAGAAAAAAAAATTTCCTGGTTTTTCAGCCTGCAAAACCCGCCCAGTTGATCGTAATTCGTTACGTAGTTCTACGAGCGGCTAAAAAGACGAAGCCAGGCTGGTAAAAGAATTTCCTCCCAGGCTCCATGGAGAAACTACGTCCCCTGCTGGTACCCTTTTGCAAGATAAGAAACCTACCGAAACGCATGGCCAAGAAATCCTCCTGCTGCGGCCTAAAGCGAGTCGAAAAATGGTGCCCTTCCTCTCGCCCTGCCCACCCGGAGAGGGAAGTCCCGACAGAGGAGGAGCTGGTGAGGGAAGGGGCGGCGGAGTATAAGCGTATCAGAAGGCAACAAGTGAAGAAGGAAGTCCTGCTGCACCAGGCCAAACTCTGAGAGGCACGGACGGGGCAACCCAGGACACGCGTGGACAACAATGCTGAGAGTTAAGGTCATTTTTTGCGAGGGAAGTAGAGCTATTAGCGGGTTTTCCACTTTCACGGACGTCTTGCGCTCCTAACCCGTTACCCAAATCTGGGAAGCCTCGCAAGCCGGTGAGTTTGCACAAACCAGAGCAACCCTTTTTTCCGGAATAAAGCTGCCTCGCTCTGAAGACGCTGCCTGGACTGGCTTGATATTGGCCGGGCAAACTCCCCGCCTTAGGATGCTTCCCAGGTTTGGGTAACACCCCCGCCAATGTGGAGGGCCAAATGTATATTGTGTTTTTCGTAGATATTTTGAAGAAAAGGGTGAAAACAGGATTTGAAGAGGAACAGAGAATTGTTTGAGGTAAGGAGTGAGAAAAGAAAGAATGCAGAATACCTAAAGGCGGAGAGAGAGAAGCAAAGTAGGCGCGGTAGCAATGGAAAAGCATTAAGGGACAGGTTCCCTTCCCGCGCATTCGGGGAACAGGAAGGGTGGGACTCCTGCCCAAAAAACACTTAGCTATATAAGTTTCCCGACAAGAACAGCGCAGAGGAAGATAAAGGGAGTGAAATGTGGGGAAAAAGTTAATTTATTGTTCAGTGTTAGCAAAGAGAATTGAACCCCAAGAATTTTGTCTCCTATAAGCTACCATTCTGGTGGAAGGCACAAACCAGCATATGTGGAGGGAATGTGAACAAAGTCACAGCTTTTGGAGAGCAGTTTTACAAGAATATACAGGAGTTATGTAATAGGGTTGATGCTATTATGCCAGGTCATCTTGGGGAGCAAGACCACAAAAGGAGAACCTCGCCTGCCAGATTGCCTCCAACTGTTTGGGATCTTTTGCTGGGATATAATGCATGCTGGTTTTGCATGCACACACAAACACAAAACTTAGAAAGTTTATTCAGCAGAAAATACAAAGCAGGCACCACTTTTTAACTCAAAGTTGTCTAGACCACAAATGTTCCTGTTGCATTCCAATCTTAAGTTATAATTCAGTGGGGGAGGGCATTTGCAATAAAAGGGACAACGGTGCTGAAAAATCCAGTGAACTAAACAACTGAAATATCAACAACCTCAGATGTGAAGGTGATACCACTCTAATGGCAGAAAGTGAAGAGGAACTAAAGAGCCTCTTGATGCAGATGAAAGAGAGCAAAAAAGTTGACTTGAAACTCACCATCAAGAGCACTATTATTATGGTGTCTGGTCGTATCACTTCCTGGCAAATAGATGGGGAAGAAATGGAGGTAGTGACAGATTTTATTTTCCTGGGCTCCGAGATCACTGCAGACGGGGACTGCAGCCAAGAAATTCAAAGACGCTTGCTCCTTGGGAGGAAAGCTATGGCAAATCTAGACAGCATACTAAAAAGCAGAGACATCACCCTGCGAACAAAAGTTTGTATAGGCAAGGGTATGGTTTTCCCAGTTGCAATGTATGGCTGTGAAAGTTGGAGCATAAGGAAGGCTGAGCACCAAAGAATTGAGGCCTTTGAATTGTGGTGCTGGAGGGTCCTGTGAGGGTCCTGTGAGTCCCTTGATCTGCAAGGAGATCGAACTGATCAGTCCTAGAGGAGATCAACCCTGACTGTTCTTTAGAAGGCCAGATCCTGAAGATGAAACTCAAACTTTGGCCACTTAATGAGAAGGAAGGACTCCCTGGAGAAGAGCCTAATGCTGGGAACAATAGATGGCAAAAGAAGAAGGGGATGGCAGAGAATGAGGTGGCTAGAAGGAGTCACTGAAGCAGTCAGCGAGAGCTTAATGGCTCCAGGGGATGCTGGAGGACATGAGAGCCTGGAGGAATGTTGTCCATGGGGTCGTGATGGGTTGGGCACAGCTTTGCGAATGACATAGCATAACAAACAACAACACCACATACCCACTCTGGCCAGATTTTGGGATGAGGCAGTAGATAGGCTGCTTTGCTCTTCCCTGATCCCATTTAGGATTGCCTCACGTATTATGAGGCAAACATTGCCTTTTCCTTTTGATAAATGGGAATAAGCTTTCATGTTTTTAATGCTGAATATTTCAAATAATTTGTTCAATTCTCCCTTGCTCAGAATATTCCACATGCTTCCTGACAGATGCAAATATAACAAAATAGCCCATTTACAGCCTTGTTTGATCAGTGTCCATTGCTAGTACCTGCTGCACTTTGACAACAGACACTTACCAAGACATTGAGCAAGGAAGACTTTTCATTTGGGTTGCCTGGAAGTGCACACACATGTACCTCCAACTAGTGACCCCCCATGAAAACGCTTGTGCACATTTCTGACATCTAGAGCATAATTTAAAGAATAGGGGACAAAGCAGTGTTGACCTTACCTATGTGCAGCTTGGACAATTTGAAGGGGCTGTCACTGGCAGAGATCAGGAAAAGATTGCAAAGGGGAAAAGCTGCAGTGCTGGCAATTCAAAAAGGGTTGCAAGCAGATCAGGGAAAAAGAGGCTGGCTTAAGGTACCAAGTCCCCTGAGATACCGGAGGACAACTGAGAGTGAATCAGATCATCTGTTCCATGAACAGCCCACAGTACACAGCTTATTTGCTGGCTGGGTTGTCGCGTTGTGTGAATTCAGCCGATAGATTGTGTGTTTGCATCTAACAGTCCATGAAGTCTGGCTTTATTGAATAGCAGTAAAGCAGCAGAATGCTCAACACATCTTACTCTCATTTAATTCTTAACTTCACATGAGTAGATAAACAATCCAGGGAGCATGATGTAGAAACTCAGAAAAATAGTTTACTGCATCCAAACAAGTCAGGATTCATGAACTAACAACCATGCCAGAGTTACAGTCTTGGTTTATGTGGGGCCAGCAGGTTTCCATGATCACATTTGGCCTAATCAGCCGATGTTGGATAGAAATTTGCTTCTTTTGCAAATGGTTCAATCTCACTAAATGAACCAGTTCTATATATTTCTATACACATATTTAATATTCCCTCCACAACCAACCAACCAACCAACCCAAGAACCTAGTTAGGTTGCTTTATGAACACCCCCTTGAGCCACCCATAACAGTAAGAGGAGCATGTATAATCATTTTTAAAATTAAAATTTTATTTTATTTTCAAAATATAATTAAACTAGTTCAAAATTGGTGCATTGCTATTTCAAATAGTGGTTTAGCATTCGTATTGTCTTCAGATTACAGAGAAGAGACAGGGCTCACAGAGTCTTGTGTGTGGATATCCACCCAGGTTGTTTCCACGACTATTTGCCTTGCAATTCCAGAGGCCATATATTCCACAGAAACACACAGAAGAAACAGCTTTATACCAGAACAGGGTAAAAACAAGCTGAGGTTCATAGATCCAAAAGCTAGGAACTGATACATTGCTCTTTAAAGACAGACACATCAAGTACTCAGATTTAAATGGCAAAATATGTTGAAGGAATTGTTGCCTTAATTTTGAGTACCTTAAAAAGATAAGAAAAAGGAGTAATGCTACGTATTTGAATAAATTGTGGTGTTAAACAGCACTTAACCTTTGCCCAAGAAAATCTTACATGCAAAATACAATAAAATAAGACTTCATCCCGGAACAGTAAAGGGGCAATCCTATGTTTCCCTACGTTTTAATAGGGAAAAATTTCTACAATTTCTAGCATGCTCCAGCCAACACAGGATCACACCCTGAGTTACTCATTTTGCCACTTTCATGCTTTCCATGATCCATCCACTGGTTTGTGGCAAATGATCCACTTAAAAGGCAGTACCCTCAATTGCCTAAGCTTTACTGTCACGTGATGTTACAGCACATGCTACTGAAATTGTTATTTATCAGCTGCATCCCTTGGCAGAGCATCTGTTGAAAGTTTACATGACAGAGTGGCCTAAAAAGATGCAAAACATGTCTGAATACCTGTTCTCATGTACTTAACCCTTCAAGAGATACCTGCAGATAGCTCTTGAGGAAGGCCTTATGAAACTCACCCACCACTGTTTTAGATGCCAGACAGGAAAAGTTTTTTCCTCAGAGTATGCTTTAATACCAGTGAGCACTGCTGTGAAAGATTAGTTCTGTTCCACTCATAAACTCTGTTGTTCAGCTCCACAAGAATATCCAGAAGAGGCAACATTCTGTGTCAGGACAAAGGGTTGGATATGTCGGGCGGGGGGGGGGGGGGGAGGAGAGAAAAGAAAGAGGTTTCAGTTTAAAACTTTAAAACACTTTCCAAACAGCCTGCCCCAACCTGATTTGCAATAGATGGTTTGGATTTCTGCTCCCATCAACCCCAGCCAGCTGATGCTCAGGAATGCTAGGAGTTGTAGTCCAAAATATTTGAGGGGCACTAGGTTGGGTAAGGCTGCTCTGTACTTTGCAAAAGTGTTTTTGCACTCATACATGATTTGTCATCTGAAGAGTTCCTGTTTTCTCTGGAGGAGACTGTCCTGAACATTTCCCCTGTAAAAAAGCAATTCTAAATCATGTTTCCACAAAAATAAACCCTGGTCATTTCAACTGAGCTTACTTCAAGTAAGTATTACTTAGGACTGTGGCTTGAGAGACTCAGAGTTGTCTGTTTTGTATGGCTTGTCCCCCAGGTTAGGTCAGCTTCATCCCTTTCCTGAAGCACTAAATAGAGCTACCCTGGGGGGTGGGAGTGGAGGTCCCACCAAAACAGTTAAAGCTGTTAAATCTTCCTGGCAACAGGCACTGCACAGGCACCCATATATGTGTGATGCACAGAGACCATGACAAAGAACATGGAAATTCTGTGCCCAAGCCATAAAAATGCTCTACCCCAAGAAAACCTGAATTCTGCACCACGTATATTTTGATGTCACAAGAAAAAGGGACACCGTGATCCTATTTTGAACAATCTATTCTGCTTTCAGTAAGCTAAATTCCCAGTCATTTTCCATGCCCCTGAAGAACTGCAGCATAAACTCAGCCCTGCTCAATTAGAACAAATAGAAACAATGTCTAAAAGCAATCATCTACCTTTTGTGTGGATCAATCAACAGATCAGTTAGGGCAGTCAGATAGTAGGAAGATGAGTTTGGTGATCTCTCTAGAATAGATGCATCCGACATACTTTGGCTCCAGAGAATATCTGCAACTTGTGGGATAGTACACAGATTTCCGTCTGCCTCAATCAGACTGGTGTTTTCTCGCCTATTGCCAGGCTCAACATAGTTTTGAATAAAAAAGAGCTTTGGTTTTCCTGAGAGATCCGGGCACCGGTCACCAGTGAAAAAGCTTTTCACCCTTTCCAGAGAGAATCCTGGACCGCTGTGGTTTGTGCAGAAGACACCCTGATGGTCACCTCGACTGACCATTACGCAAACAAAGCAGTCGTAGTCTCTGTGTTGTCTCAGTCTTGCTACTTCATACAACTCTCGCATCATGGAATCCATAGTCAAGAATAAGTGGCATCGAACTTCAAAACACAGTGCCTTAAAGGACTTTGCAATCATAACTAGAGAAAGAAAGAAGAAAACACCCAAGAAAGTGTTTAGTCGACTTTTTTTTTTTTGCTTGTCACTGGAGTAAAATTGCAGTTCTCTGATACTATCTTAGTTAATTTCATGCTATTTCTGCTGCTTGGCCCCTTTCTGTTTGCTTTACCACTTGTTATGGCAGTCTTTCTATCAATTTTGTTTCCTAATTTAATTTAAACATTTATATGCCGTCCTTTGCAGCAGTCTCAGGACAGCTTACAGAAATAAAAATAACAATAAAAATAACAATATAATATTATAAATAGCATTTAAAACATTCCACAATAAAACAAATTAACAACAATATATCCTCTCCTAATTAAAAGAAAGAAAAAATGAAATATTTTTATTTTTGCACATATTTTACTTTACAGAAAAGTGACTAGAAATATGAAATAAATTTAAAAATATAATCAAGGCTGTGCACATGCCACCATTCCAATGGAGTGCAGAAAAGTATAAAGCGAGGCCTTTGGGGCAGTATCTAGTCCATTTAGAAAATCTCAGCTTCCTTGTATGAGATTCCACCTCTGAGACTGTAACTTTATGGACACCTATGGCCAATGCTTAATGACATCTCAGAAGTGAGAAGACTTGCTGAGTGAGATTTATAGTGGTTGGAGCCTGGAGCATTCGCATCCTATACTATGCCTAGCTCCTCTGCTTATCTAGCAAAACCAAACCAGATTATGCAAAATGATGTTGGGTTGGTTTTTGTAAATTTAAGAGCGATAGAGGGGCCTCTAGCCGTGCTTTGTGAACTGCATTTACCTCAGAGCATCATCACACTGTTTAGGCCTGCCATAAGTACTCCCTTGTCTGTCCGTTCCTGAGTATCACTACAATACTCCAGATGCTGGACTACAACTCTCACCATTCTTGATCTCTGATCATATTGGCTGGGGCTGATGGGTGCTGGGAGTTCTGTGTCTGTAGGGCCCCAACTTCCCCACTCTTGCTTTAGAGGATAAGATGTTTCACATGGGAAAATCTTTATGTGAAATAATATCAGAACACCAATGTAAAAGTGTGAGAATTTAAAACTGGGAGATTAAATAAACCAGATGTTTCAGAGCAGTGAAAATGTGCTGGTCCTAGGAATTTATTACAAGATGGTGCACCATTCAGTCTCCATGTTCATTTTCCAACAGAAGGCATCTGGATACAGCTACAGAGTCTGTGTAGGGCTATTCTAGTGGGAGCAATTACAGTACTTCTTAATAAACTAAGTTACAGCCTTGCCAGTAGAGGGCAGTATTGCATCGTGGTTATTGACTGAATTCAGAGTTTGTACCAAAGGGAACTTGGATTCCCCTCTAACCCTCCCTCCCCACCCCCAGGGTGTTTTTTAAACAGTTTTTTAAACTAGTATGAAACTTCATATGGAGCCATTTTACCTTGGAGGTTATCAGCACAGGTGATAAATGCTGAGAAAAGAAGCAGAAACTTCTCCCTGCCCCCATTCTAGATCGAGAGAAGTATTCTAGGTTGAGAGAGGTATTACTACCAGTCTATACGACTCTGGTGCGCCCGCAACTGGAGTATTGTGCTCAGTTTTGGGCCCCTCATTACAGAAAGGATATAGCCAAGTTGGAGTCAGTGCAGCGTAGGGCCACACAGTTGGTGGCCAGTTTGCAGGGGAAGGGATATGAGGCAAGACTGAGGGAACTGGGTCTCTTCAGCCTGGAGAAGGGGAGACTCAGAGGGGACCTGTTGGCGACATGCAGGTATGTGAGGGGATGTCACACGGAGGTGGTAGAGGCCTGTTCTCCCCTGCAGAGGATGGCAGGACGCGCTCCAACGGAGCAAAGCTCAGGGAACCAAGGTTCCATTTGGATGCCAGGAAGCACTTCCTGACAGTCAGGACCCCGAGGGTGTGGAATGGGCTTCCACGGGAGATTTTTGAGGCCCCATCGGTGCGGGTGTTCAAGGATAGGCTGGACGTGCACATGGTGGGCACGTCATGAGCGCAGCTGGCTGGAGCCGGGGGTCAGACTAGATGGCCCAGGATACCCCTTCTGACTCACTCTGTTTCTATGTTTCTATCACCCTCCAAGCTAAGAGAACAGACAACCTTCCGTCAGGACTAAATGATTCAAAGTTGTGCCATAATATGGTTGCCAGAAGTGGGACACTGACAAGAACAGTTTTAGACTGTTAGAATGGGGCCCTGGCAGTTCTTCCTTTCTTTTCCTTGATCTTACTCCAGTCAATGCTTTGCACTATCAGGTGCTTCTTGCAAACTAGTCTTCCCCCACTCCCTGCCCTAAGCGGTGTACTAAATAGGTTATCCCTTTGGGGCTATGTACCGGCTGCATGTATTTCCTGTCTATCTGAATAAGCTAGAATGTTTTTTAATCATACACCCCCAGTAACCTTGTCTTCACTGTCTCATGACGCTTTCCATACAAGGAATGCAAGATACTCAAAACTCATTTGCTTTTTCAGCAACTGAAAAAGTTTTAAGAGAAAAGGATCTAAATATAATCAGATGAATCTACTTCGGTACTCTGAGTGGTAGCTGGGAATAAAGTCTATTTCATGCATGTTGAATCCATTTGACTGCACTCAGTTTTATTTTCCATAGCTGGAGAGAAGCGGTCTACTTCTGAAAACTACTGGGCTTGTCATGAGATTCAGTGTGCCACCTGACCCCCTCTTAGGACTTACTTCCAAGGAAGTGCATCTAAACGGCATCAGGCTGCGATCCTAGGCAATGGCATATCGGAGAGTGCACCCCACTGAATGCAGTGCAACTTACTTCCAAGTAAATTTACACGCAGTGCTCTTCAAGCACTCATCTGTGGGGCTGTGCCCTGTTACACATTTCAGTGGGCCTGGGGGGTGCCCAAGTTTCTCTGGACTGTGAGAAGCTTGAGGTGTGGCCCTCTTGCATGCAGTCATGGAAACTTTTCAGGCCAGAGGTAATGCTAAGTAATGTTGGCCTGGGGGTGACAGAGAGTCACACACACATACAAGGACTCCAAACATATATGCATACAATCACATGCATGCAGATCTCAGCAATTCCAATATGGGTCACTCACCCCTTGTTACTACCAGCAAGGAACGAGCATTCCCTATCAAGACTGCTGCAGGGTGGCAATAGTGATGGGGCAAGGGAAGGCACCCTTGGAAGCACAGTACATCTCCTGGGCTGCACGTTTGTCTTAAAGACAAACTCCTGCACCAAATTCTGAGCAGTCCCTGCTCTTGGTGGTAATCCCCGGACATTCTTACTAGCGTTAGCAACATGGCACTGCTCTTAAGCCAGTTCTGGGAACTATGTCAGAAGGCTTCTCCTTATAGCAGTGAGAACCCTTGAGGAGTGGGCCTTATTTTCTGATTTCAGGGCAGAGTTCAAAAATATGCTGGACACATTCAGCTGACAATATATAGCTTTGTGACCAATAATAACAAACCCATTCTTCAAGTGCCACTGTATTAGCCAAAATAGCACTGGCCATCAGACACAAAAAGGAGGTATCAACAGACATCAAAAACCCCCAGGCTTTGCAGAAGTACAACAAATGTTTGGGAGGAGAGAGGAAACCCCCCGCCCCAAAAGAGCTCAAGGAAGGCTGGGCATGCCCAGTGAGCACATAATCCTAGCTGATTTCTAGGGGTAAAATGGAAAAGAGCTGAAACTGAAATGAAATGCGGCCTCGGCACTGAAGATCTTTTAAGTCCTGTACTGATTCATTTCTAGAGATGCTAAAAAACCCCAAGCAGTCAGGCATTCAAAAGACACATCGAAATGACCGCACTCTGTGTAATTTCTGAACTGCTACGTTTTCATATTTAGCTTTTTTGTGGTCTTTTATTATTAACACCTATTCCTGTCCTATTTAGTGACTTCAGTACTCTTCTCATCCCCATCCACCCTGACATTTTATCAATACTTGTATTACTTAGTATATTCCTTCTTTAGTGACTTGGATTATTTTTTAATCATTGATGATAAAATGAAGAGCAGCTGCCAGCCACTCGATTCATAAGGGACATCTGCAATGACACGCTCTAATCCACCACGCTGAGAGTTACCCCTGCATCTTAATTGTGCACAGACCTTTTGTTAACATTGTGATAGTCTTCCAATTTTTCCCATCTATGCCTGAAAGATGTCAGCCCTATTCCAGCATTATTCCCACCAAGGGGAGCAAGGCTAGGCAGTAACTGCCACTGTTCCCATCCCTGCTTGCTCTGCCATTGACGAGACTGAGCCAAAAGGCCTGAAGGGGAACTCTTTTTTTATTTGGCTGAACATGCAGAGAATTCTCCCCACGATTGGAAACTGCATGTTCAGCTGAATGCATAGGGTGCAGCTCAGGACGTTTGGAACCACCAGAGACACGGATATTGCAGGGGGATGCAATTACATAGATGGGTTCAGACAACACAATAACCCACCCTCAAGCGTGGAGGTATAGGTTGCTGCTGACCAGTGAGTTACTGTTGAAACATGAACTCTTGTCTTATCTCGTCTGGGATCAGACAACAACTCACAGTTAACACTCCAACAGCAAACCATGGGTTCCCTTCATGGCTTGTTAGTGCAGCTGGGTTCAGACAATGCATCTCAATGACAACCCACATTTCAGTGAAAATACGTACTCAACCCATACTCAAGCTCAGTCAGCATAAAAATTCCAGGCTTCTTCTTGTTGCTCTCTTCATGCATTGAGGGGAGAGACCATAAGTCAGTGGCAGAGCAAAAGCTTTGCATGCAGATGGTCCCAGGTTGAACATTTCGTGTCCCCGGTGGAAAAAGGATCAGGTAGAAGGTGGGAAACAGTGCTCTCTCTGGTGGAGAGCTGCTGCCACTCAAAATATGCAGTAGCAGGTCAGAAAGATAGGAGTTCATCTGATACAATGCAGCTTCCCATGTTCCACTTTCAAAGGAACTAGCATAGATCAGGCTTTCTGAACTGGGTTCCTTCTAGATGTGTGATTCCCATAATCCCCAGACAGAATGGGTACAGTTGATGAGTGCTACATTCCAACACAACTGGAAGGCACTGAGTTCAGAAAGCCTGGCTTCATTTTATATCCAGAACCTTAAAGCTCTATTTGCCCCTTGTCTACCCAGATTTATTTATTCAAAGCAGCCTTCCCCAGCCTTGTGCCTTCTTAGACACATTTGGACTGCAACACCCAGGATTCCCACTCAATGGCTGGATGGGAATTCTGGGAGTTGTGGTCCAAATTCCTCTGAAGCCCAGCAGGTTGGGGAAGGCTGATTTAAAGCATTTAGATACCATTTGATTAGCACAACACTCTCAAACAGATGGCAGACAGGTAAGCCTATCACTTGCCGCCTCTTGCATTCTTCACCTCACGATTTATGCCAAGAGAGGTGAGCTGTGCCCGACTGCTGAGAGCACAGCAACCAAGAAAAAGGAGAGGGGCACTCCTCTCTCCTCCTCCCCGTCTGCTCTCAGACTCCCTGACGCGTGAAGTGGCTCACACTGAACCTTCTCAGCATGTATGCCTCTTAACCACTCATTTGTTGCAGTATCATGCTTCAAGCCCTCAAGAGATCTGTGGTTTGGCTTATGTAAGAAGTCACATGGGACTTTCCATGAGAAATGTGGCAAGGGAAAATGCAAGGTTTATTCTGTGTTTTACCTCTAGGAAACACTGCCTCACAAGAAGTAAAATTCAAAATATATGAAGGAAATGACAAATGATGATTTCTTCAATTTCACTGAAAGCAAAAGTCGCAGGACAGCTCTCAAGAAAACACAACTCTAGAAACTTAACTACAAAATCAAAGGGGATCTTGCTTTGAATCCATTACACTGGAAAAGCTACTGAAATCTAGTTCTGCATTCACAATTGTAAACCTGGATCATTCAGGTACATCCATTATAGCATGCCAAAATTTTCGCAATGGCTCTAGCTCAGGTGCAAATGAAGGGGTGGATTTTCAAGGCAGATGAATGAATGGCATTTCTCCAGACTTGGTGCAGGGAGGGGGAGACACCAATTTATAAGCCCCCATCAGTTCAAAAAAGAAAGTAATAGCAAAACAAGCACAGCAGGGAGTGAGCTAAGCTAAGAATGTGTCCTCTAATGTGCTAGTTTCTTGTTTTAATTAATAGTGACTTTTACTAGCTAGTTTCTTGTATTACTAGTCACCCTGCCCACAGGGAAATATTAGGGTTAGGGTAACCCCCTCCATTCTTATTTGGCATTTTACTATTATGTACTGGCTGGGGATGATGGGAGTTGTAGTCCAACACTTCTGGAGGAAAACGGTAGACTCTGGCAGTAAGAAGATACTGGGTTGCCTGAGCACTTACCGGCATCGTTGCCAATGCAGTCTATGATGAGGCAGACTCCCAGTGGCTGGCTCTGCATTCGATACTTGCCTGATGCCTGCAAAGGGGAGGGCAGAGTTACTGTGTTGCTTTTTTCCCCATTCCACAGACCTCCCAATCTCAGTTCCCATGGCCAAGGGAGATCCCTACCTCTGCTCTGCCCAGCCCGAGCGACTGGAAAGTGCCAGTGACAGTTCCTTGGGGTTAATGCTGCAACTAATTATGGCTCCCAGAAGTGTTCAGCAACCCCCTGCCCTAAGGGTTAAGCATGCCACCCGAACCAGAGCACATACTAAACCATGGTCAAGCCAAGAGACTAGGGAGCCCTTGCCCAGAGCAGCCCAAGGGAGGGCTGCTCTGGCCAATGACAGCTGGCCGAGTGCCCCAGCGGCACCTTGTGCAGGTGCCGTCGCTTCTCCTCCACACTCGCCCTGATGCCAGGAGCTCCCACAGAATCAGCAGGACTGTCGGGGGGGGGGGGGGGAAGCTGGCAAGGCCAAGAGATGCTGCCCACCCAAACACTACCTGAGGCCTGGGGAGGTGGCACAGGAACCAGCCATGCAGGCTCAGTTCCTCAAGAAGAAGCAAGGCCAGAGCATCCGAATCCTGCCTGCTGCCGCAAGCAGACCGAAACCACCTGCACCGCTCAACAGCTCAGCCTGGGCTGCCGTCCTTTGAATACTGTTCAACTGCACAGGAATTGGGAAGAAGCTCCCAACTGTGAAAATGGTCCCTTTTTGCCCTACATCTAAACACTGCAAGGTGTTGCTTTTCCGTTGTTGTGATGCATGGAGGCTACAGGAGGCATCTAAAGATGCTACCAGCCACCTCCAGCCAAGGCCAAGAGGCTTCCCACCCTGTGAAAGGCTCACAAACTGTCATGAAAATAAACTGGTATGGCAAGCAGACAAGTGCAGGCAGTGGTGATCACAGCAGTACTTTAAGATGCTGTTGTGGCCTAGGAGGGCCTCAGCGATTATAGGCAGCCTATAAATACATGTAAATAAATAATAAGATAATGGATTTGCCGTTTTCACTTTCACCCATTGGTCCGCATGTTTTAATTCTTCAGTACTTATCAGGGTACAGGAAAACTCCATTTGGAGTAGGGAGCCATATATAAATCCAAACATCAATCAATGGGAACAGCTGAGCTTAAAAGCACTAAAAATAATGCAGGCATGAAGGATGTAATTAGTGGCTTTCTAAACTGCCTAACTTTTTAACCCAGTTAAAAGCATTAGAGCATTGAGGCATTTTTGTACCGAAAGGAAAAGGTCCATGGGTCAGCAAAAGGTGAGGCTTGCCACTAAAGTGTGCCATACCTGTGGCAGGGTTCCTCCTGTTTCTGGTATGGACAGGTGAATCTGTTCTGCTGCAGGTAGAAAAATTGGGGTGGTTACTTGTGGTATGCCTACATTGTCCCATAATGTTGATTTTAGTGGTGGTGTTTTTATAGCCCCCCCACAGCTATATAGCATAAGGAACATCTGAGCCAGCCAAAGTATGTCATAACCATGCAAATGACCTGTGGCTGTTAAAATATGCATCTTAAAAATATAGGAAAGTAAATGAGGGAAAGGTAACTGTGTTACTTTGATTACTGTGTGTGGCCATGGATAACAGGAGGCAGTTCTCCCAGCAAGACAGACATGGGAAAATCCCAATTCATCTCCACGGCTGTCTTATACAACACACAGAGGACAAAAATCTAGAGTGTGTTTATTATAGAAAGTGCATCTCTGAGTGGCAATCCATACATGTTTACTCAAAGGTAAGTTCCATTGAGTTCAATGAGGCTTCTCCCTAAGTAAATGAGCAAGGGATTGCAGCTCAAGGCTGTAAGGATTAACAGGCCTTACCCTGAACAGCACGTGCTCCATTTAGCAATCTTTCTTTGTTCACAATCTGCAAATTACAAACAATACAGCATTACAACCCTGTAATATCCAACCGACTACAGCAGCAAAAGCAGCAAATTCCATGCTAGTGATGATCAAGAAAGGAATAGAAAATACAAACAACTGGTATGGTTACAGCCTTATATGAATGCATGGTATACCCACATCTGGAAAGCTGAGTATAATGTAGGCTTGCTATCAAGGACGGACAACTTTTGGTCCTCCAGATGTTTTGGCCTACAAATCGGCTGTTGCTGGTATAGCCAATGGTGCAGGATAATGGGAATTTTAGACCAGAACACCAGGAAGGCCATGAGTTATCTCCTTTTATCTGGATTGTGAAATTGCCAACTATCAATTAAACTAAAGTCGTCACATCCCTCAAAAAAGGTAAATGTAATGAGTTTTAACTTTGCCTTTTACATTTCTATCAAATACTGGATTTGGGACTCTATTGAAGTTCCCTCCTAATAGTATTTCATAATTCGGGTATCCCTGCAATTTTGCAAAAAAAAAAAAGTTCATAAAAGGAACTTTGATCTCAATTTGGTGCATATATGCTTAGTAATAATAGCTTTTCATTTCATATCTGCCCCATAAGAATCACATATCAACCATCATCATCATCTTTGATCTGTTCCTTTATACTAAACTGTACTGCTTTTATATGCTTGTATAAGAAAAGCATTCCCATTTGTCTTTGTATCAGCATAGGAGAAGACAGTTGTTCCTAATCTGAAACTAAGCAACAGATTATACTGTTGTTTCATGATGTGAGTTTCTTGTAGTAAATATATACCTTTATTCAACCCTGCCTTACTGAAATCCATGGTTTGGCCACCTCTAGAACACTATGTTCGGTTTTGGGTATCTCAGAAAGGCTATTGTGGAGCTGAAAAAGGAGCAGAAAAAAGCAACCAAAATGATATTGCAGAATTGTCCTTATGAGTAAAGCCTGTTTGACGCTTTTTGGTTTAGAAAACATACTGCAAGAGGGATATGATGGAATGTTAATAAAATCATGCAATAAGGAGAACCCAGGTAGGCAGAGCTGGCAAAAGGTTTTCTTCCCTAGTTCCATCTAACCAGATCTCTGATACAGGCCAGGTTGGCATGTTCATCCAGGTTCAAGTCCTAGATGGTGCTGTATCCCCAGTCACCATTATACTTTCACTTTACACATTGTGCCTGTACTCTAACCAGCCCTCCAGATGTTTGGACCCCATCTTCCATCAGCCCCAGCCGGTAAGGCCAGTTGTCAGGAATGCTGGAAGTGGCAGTCTAAATCATTGGGGGGGGGGGGGCTGGTTGGAAAAGGCTTCCATAATCAAACTCTAAGCAGGATGCTGCATTAGCGCATCACACAACCTCTACTTTAAAAGAACCAAAACTCACAGCTAAGTCATTAGTGATGCTTTTTGCACCTCAGAAAATCCCTGCTCCTGGAAGCAACCATTTGGCAACACTTTCAGTGTATTGAATTACTACACACTTACCCCTGGAGGGTCAGCAAGAGACAGCTCCGGAAACGATGCCTGAAGTGCATTCGCACACTTAAGCGAGGAGCCAGTGGGGTGCACTGGAGCTGAAAATTGAACAGAGGCTTTCAGAAATGCTATCAACAGTGGCCTTTCCATAGATCGTAACTTTCTTCTCTGCCTCTCTCCATCCCTGAAATCTTGTGCTTACACTACCTACTACTGTACAAATGTTTTCACTCCACCAAAAAAGTTAAGCCACATCTGACACAAGAAATGTCTTGGGATCTGAGGTTGCCCTGCAACAAAGCATACCAATTGAAACCATGCAACTGTAATCCTGTTGCTCATTTTCGTGGGGGTAAACCCCACTAACCCCATGGGCTGACCAGTCTAGAAGACTGGATAGCAAAACTGCTTCACTTTACCTTCCCATTTGTACTGCTGGATTCTTTTTGCCAAGTCTTTCCTGTGAATGTTTAAGAAGCAAGTTTCTATTAAATCCAGATGATTAGGTGACACCAGGTCTAACTTCTCAAGCTCAGTTATTATTGCCAGGAAACTCTAGGAAAGTCAGAACAAATGTATTAGACAGCAGACCAAGCAATGCACATCTTTAAGAAATTTGCAGGTGGGCCCTTGAAACAGAATGGGGAACAATACTGTTTTATTTAGAACATTCAGAATATAGAAAGACAGACATGTCATTTCCATGCACTACTGCTGAACCTATTGTTTCCTACATCAGCAGCCTCATGTGTCCAGTATATTATCCTAGCCATGCTAACCCTGCTACAGAAATCATATTCATTTCCATTTTACTGATTAGGAATTGATCAACACAGTGGCTTCATCCTAAGTTTGTCCACAATTCACTGGTGAGCCAAATTCAAAGATCAGCTCTTTCCCTCCAATTCTACTTGGCACCTTCCCATTGCGTATTGGACTACAACTCCCATCAGCCCCAGCCAGCAGGGCTCATGGCCAGAGATGTTGGGTCTGGCAAGCCAAAGCATCTGAAGGGCACTAGTTTGGGAGAGGGTGATTGGATTCCAGTGGGTCTTGTCTGAAGACGAATCCTTCTGAGAATGGGAAAAAGGGCTGTGGAAGCCTTGTCAGCATTAAGTCAAGAGAAACAAGAGGGCTTGAAGCTCTTACATGAGTGACTGAAAGCCATCCTTAAAATAATACTTTGCACTTCTTTCCTCTTCTCCACCAACCATGGAACTCCACCTTCAGATAGGATTGCATATGAGTGAACGGGAATTCAAAGGGCTTCCCCAGCTGCTGATAAAGATAAATCCCCAAATGACCTTGTTTTCCCATCAGTGCAGTTCTTCTCTTCTTATTATCGAATGCCCCTGGGACACACATCAATAGTGTGTAAGGACAGTGTATCATTAAGAGATGTTTGGTCTTGCATTGTTAAGGGACTCTTCTAAAACGAGGCAAGAAGAGAGGGAGAGGAAGGGTCAGTTTCCTTTTTATGCATTCATGTTGACTGTGAGTTCACTCCAAATCCTCAGAGCAGGTAACAAAACACAGAAAACATCCCATTAAAATTAACTTCAAAGGCAACAAATCCATTTTTAAGAGAAGGCTATAGTATGCTTATATTTCAGTGAACCTGCAGAAAAAAATTGACTCTCAGATTGTTAAGGCTACCAGGCAACGTATTTATCTTTTGCTGTCCAGATTTACTATGCTGTTGGTGGAATAACTCCCTGCTGAGTTTAATACAGCAGGACATGCCGTCTTTTGGGAATGTCAGGCCAAATCCGTTTATAGCAATGGCAGTTCAAGTCTGTTAACATGCTTGATATTCAAGAGAGCTACTTATTTTATTGACAATCATGCTGGGTGGAGCAGATAGGAGTTGTAGTCCAAAAAATCTGGAGGCAAGCAGGCAGGCTAGGGAAGCTGATCTAGAAATAGCATTATCAGTTTGAAACCCAAAACACACTTACTAGGAAGGAATCCCCATTGAGCCCAGTGAGCCTTAGCTACAAGGAAATATGCACAAGCTCATGCTACTAAACTGAACTGTGAGAACAAAGAAGGGATTGATTAAAAGAAGCACAATCTGTGCCTCCAGTAACTTCCCTTTCCTCCTCTGGTGGAATTTGTTTTACTTGCATTAAAAGGAACCAAGCACACCATTTTGCTTTCTTTCTTCCAGCACCATCCTTTCGTGCTCCATTACAGTGACCTCTCCACCTTTCTCCCCTTTAGAGAAGGTTGTTTATTTAGGTTCCACCCCAAATGCCTAGTTAGCATAAGCCACGGAATGGCTTACACACGTACACTTTGTAAGCACATGGGCACCTTCGTGTAGCAGCGTGTGTGTGAAAGGGCTGGGGCCACAAGCAGTGCTCATCTCCTCTAGGGCTACACTCACAGTAATGTAAGAAAAGTCGTGACGCAGAGCTGCATTTTGGAACTGATGAAAGGAAATGACGGGAGACAAAACGTACCTTATCTTTTGCCATCTTCACATGGGACATTCCAAGGTCATTCATGAGAAGAAAAACAAGGGAATTCAAGTCATCTTTGTCCAGATCTTCGCTGATTTCAGTCATCAGAACTCTGTAACATGTACAGACAATTTGTAACCAACTGACCTTCAGCAAACTCCCATTGGCCCAATGTTTCCTATTCCTTCTATGATTATTGCTGTCAACTGCCTAGAGAGCTTTGGCTATGGGCAGTATAAAAATGTAATAATAACAATAACATTCCTTCACTGAACTATGTAAAACACACAAACCCTAATTATCTGTGCTTATGAAGTAGAACAGCCTTTCCCACCACCCCCCCGATGTTATGGACTACAACTCCCATCATGCTGAAAATGGTAATGATTTAGGCGATACAGTCAAAATCATCTGAAGGAACCCAGCTTGGGGAAAGGCTGGACTAGAAAGCCATTCTCAGCCTGCAATTGTAAATGTGCTTACTAGAGAGTAAGCCCAGCTGAACACAGTGCACCCTGCTTCACAGGAAACATGGCCTGGCAAGCCATGAATGGCAGGAATAAACAAAGGATTGACCAAAAGGACTGCATTTTAGTATCACCGTAGCATTCAGTGGGAAAGAAACCAATGATGGATTGTTGAAAGCAGGCTGTATAACCAAAGAATCCACAGGCCCCGGGGACCATTCACTGTGGAGTAAGGAGCTAATTCTGCTGCTTTTCTGCATTGCGTATTATTGAATGCCCCAGCTGCTCCCAAGGCAGAGCTGCAGAAAAACTACTGGCCCCTGGAGGAAGATGTTGCTTTCATCTCTGCTTGAGTGGCTGCTCTGGCATTACAAACACCAAGGCCGTGTAGAAAGGTGGGCGGCTCTTATGGGCCTGGAACATTTTTACTTCCCATGTTTGAAGAACTGCATGATGTTTAGCTCAAATGTTAAGGCAGAAATTACAGAAGACCTGCCTTAGCTTTCAGAGGTTTCAGACACACTGACTTTGAAGCTGCAAGGCAGGGTTGAGCAAAACGCCGCCTTGAAAGATAGGCAGGGAATGAATTGGCAGGTAGCACAGATGTGGTTGTATTGGGAGCCCTTTAGGACAGCCCTCTCATCTCAGGAAAAACCATGTAACACGGGGAAGGTTGCATGAGGTGAGGGTGAAGGGTTGTAGTTCAGTAGGAGACCACCTGCTTTGCATACAGACGGTCTTGGGTCTAATCTCTGGCATCCCCAGGTAGGGCTGGTAAAGGAACTCCTGCGTGAAACCCAGAAGAACCGCAGCCAGTCACTCCACAAGTAATTCTGGGCTCAGCAAACCAATCATCTGACTCACTATCAGATACGGCATTGCCACAAGTATCACGTTCCGAGCAGGCACACACACTGATCCTAAAGCATGTTCTCCCGTGTTTATAGCACTTGTGTGTGAATGACTTCAGTCTTAAAGGAAGCCACCATACAATTGACAGCACCATTTATCTTCTCCAGAGGAAACAACCACCCCACTCAGACATGACTAACACATTTAAGCCCACTGACGTCAAAAGAAAGTGGTCAGCAGGCACAAGTGGAATCGATTATTATTGCTACATTACATTTATACCCCACCTTTCTTCTTCTTGCAAGAAACCCAAGGCAGCTTACAAGGTTCTCCTCCTCTTCCTTTTCTCCTCACAACTCTGTGAGGGAGGCTAAGCTGAGAGTGGGTGAAGCGCCTGAAGTCACCCAGTGAGATTTATAGCTGTGGGGTGACTAGAACCCAGGTCTCCTGGGTTCTAGTCCAACACTCCATCCATGATGGCTCTCAACAGGACAATAACCAGCCTAAGTTCAAGTATCTTGGCTTACATGGTTTATGGATTCAGTTGTTTTCTTCTGAACGGAAAAGGCATGGATGTTGCACTGAGAAATACTCTAGTGGAGGGGTAAGCAATATGATATCTTCCATGTTTTGCACTACAATACCCACAACCCCTGATCATGAGGCCACATTGACTGGGGCTGATGAAAGTTGGTAGTATGTAACATCTAGAGGGCACCAGGTTACCTGTCCCTGCTCAAGGGCCCTGCAGAGTGTAGCCATTCATTTTTTCTGATGGTTAAATATGGCTGTTGGAATTATGGTACAAACAAGAAGAGCTCTCTCAACCAACTAGCTAAGGTACAAGATAGGATCTCTCATCTAGAGAAATAAACACTAGGGAAAAATTAACCACTTCTTTCATTTTAAATGGTGCAAGCAAACTTCCTTTGGACTGGGCCAAAGTAGATTGGCTCCCAGGTTGAGTTACTAGCTCTCTTCCACAAATTACTGACCATGCAAGCAGTCCATTTGTGGGATTTACATTAACATCAGAGCCCCAAACCAACAAGAGTGAGATCACTCTTCTACAAACTTATGCATTTCCAGTTTGTGCAACTGGGAGCTGAGTTTCCCCATGAGCTCCTTTGTTAGATTGTCTGCACCAGCAGGGCACTTGTGTGAGGAGTGATTCCTGGAAATGCCGGCTTTTGCAGCCACAGAACCTACGAACTAAATTTGTAAAATAATGGGTAAGGTAGAAGCATATAAAGAATAATTTTAAACATTAAGAGAAAGAGAAATCTCCTCTGCTCAACCCACCTGTACTTTGACACCATCTGAGGACACATGGCCAAGTTCGCTTCCACTGCTGCTTTCCTGGTCCCCAAGACCTTCTTCAGCAAATCATATCTCTTCATTCGGTATAAGAGTTCAGACAAGCTCACAGGTGTCAACATCGACCTCTCGCTCAAAGTCAACAAGAGCTTCCGAACATCCGGCATGGGCAGATCAGGGACAAGGTCTCGGCACAAGAAGAGCATGGCTTCCTTTTCATCTGTATCCAGTTCCTGCTCAATCTGGTGAAGGTGGGCAGCTGGTACCCCGTAAACTGTCATCACAAGCCACTTCTCCTTTAAAGTCCCGTGTGTGTTTGAGACAGGAATGCCACTTCATGAGGCTTGCTTGCAAACCAAGTGTATTTTCCTCCCTCTTTGTTGATCTTCAGCAGATGTGCCTTGTGTTTAGATATGAAGAAAACCTCTGCAGGGTGGGGGGATCCCACACGATAGTAAAGGCCCAGTCACTGCTGATTTGCATCACCTGATACAGAACCCAACCAGTTCACTGCTAGCACTCGGGCAGGCGTCTGGTGAGATACAAACTGCTCAAACGTTCAGAAATAAAACAGCTTGCTCTTGCTTTCCCAAGGCTCAGGTTGAATGAAAAATGGAATGCCCAGTTTCTAGCAAAGTTCTCCTAATCACAAAACTCGGAATGTCCACAGGAAATGAAACCACAAAATCCAAAAGTAAACCCTGAAAAAAGGAAGTCACATTTTGACAGAGGCTCCCACACAATAGTTCTTTTTCACTGTAGCTGTACATCACTTGATAAAGGGTCTATATTTAAGGGGTTGTTTAAAACTGAATTTTGTATAATATTTAGAATAGACACAAGAATGTACACTTTTGTTTTAATAATCATGGGTTATATTATCTGAACCAAGCCTAGTGAACAGCTTACAGTCGACAGACTAACAAAAAAATTGTGGGTTTTCTTCATGGACTGTGTGTGCCCTGTTATCATAGCTACAATTACCCACATAACAACCACTACTACTACTGCAGTCAGCCCATATTCAGCCCTTGAGTGAGAGTTACAATGTTGTGTGAAACCAGTCATTCTTGTGAGCTGAGCATTGGTATGGATTTGCTTTAAAACAGGGATTGATAACATGTGGTCCTCAGATGTTGTTGAGACTACAACTCCCATTCTCTCTCACTTTGGTTATGCTACCTACAGCTAACGAATGTGTCAGTCCAACAACATTGAAAAGACCACACTCTACCCAGCCCTTCCTTGAAGCAAGACCTGATCAGAGTCTAGATATTGACAAAAGAAGGATGATACGACTTAACATCCGGGCAGTTCAACACCCAGTGCTTCAGGAATCTACTTTGCTGTTTACCAGAACCTTGGGGACCACCAACTGCACTCTGGTGTAAAACAGTGATTCAGAAAGGTGCATAAATTAGCAAAATAAGGTGCCTCTTTTATGCACACACTCACCCAGAAAAGTATTTTCAGTAACAGAACTGCAGTTCATACAGAGATATTTTGTAGGCCATCCAGAGACAAACTGTAATGGACAGGATAAAAATATCCTAATAAATATTCCTGATTTTCTATTATGTTTTCTTGACCTCGGCAACCTAATTTAGGAGTGGGGAAAGGGCATTTTCTTGTCACTGTTGTTAAACCACTGGGTCATTCACTGCAAATGGCCTGGCAATTTATCAGCAGGTCTGGCTCCACATTTTGCCTACCCGCATATTAAAGGTTTTTATTTCCAGGCACAGCTCTCCCTGAAATGTGAGAGCTGCTAGAGTTTGTGTGTGTGGGGAGAAAAAAAACAGAGAGGAAGACAGAAGCAGAGCGAGCAAGCATGCAAACATCTTGAGATACAGGATCTCTTTCTTGAGATCCAATGTGAAAAGGCAAGAACTGGGTTTTCTTCAAGGTCATCTCTATATGTGGAGATTAAACATGCTGCTTTACTGAGTCTTTTTCTTTTATTTTCACTGCAGGAGGAAAATGTGTCCCATGATTGTTTTTCCTGGGATTTGTATGTCTCTGCCTTTTTGGATATTCTGTTAACCAAGGCAATTAATTAATGAACTCATAATTTGCTGGGGTTGTGTGGTGCCACCATTTTGGGAATACATCCTCTGATTGTTCCAAGTAGACATTATTCTGTGACATGCAAATCCAAATACTCTGGGTTATAATGTCATCAACCCAGGTTCACGCATCATAGAATAATCTCAGATCAGAAGCTGCATATGTACCACAGTGCATTACTGATTACTTAAATCAGGATTCGCTGCTGTTACATGCAAAGTGGGTCACTGCGTCAGAAGTTTTTGAACTTCAGATCCCATAGGATGGATAAAGCAGATGGGTCCACAAAACTGTCTGCCTTGAAAAATGGAAAATTATGGTGGTCCAGTATAGGATCCAAGGTTAGTAACCCCAACACCACTCCCAGTACTATAAACTCTCAACTGTTTGCCTCTTGGATCCAATAATATAAAACAAGGCAGACAGGCTGAACCAGAATTGCAAATACACGCATAGATGTGTGATGTCTGCCAACAATCTAAATAATAGACTACTTACCAAATCACTTCATAAAATCTTTTGCTTGAAACCAACAGTAAACAAACTACTACCTTTTTTCATTGTGTACTCTGGGGAGACTGTTAATTTACTAGGAAAGTGAGCAGTATAAGTGGTTTCTTGTTACTGAATTCGACAGTTGTGGAAAAAATTAGCTTAGGCCAATCAGATCTCCCCAAACCCACTTTTCCTAATATTTCACCAGATGAAGATATCTGGCGATCTCAAAAACTTGCATTTTCTTTGCAAATTTTTCTTGGAAAATTTGCATATTTTTGCTTGCCCTAATGAGGGTATTAAACTGATATGGATTCTGGAATTTTCCTACCTCACAAAGTTACTATGAGTCTTAACCGTCTGTGGGGGACAAACTCACAAGCGCTGCACTGAATATTTTGCAAGAAGCACAAGAATGAAAAGAGATAATACATGAGTTATGCCCCTTATTATTTTCCCTGTGTTCAACAGGGGCATATTTCTTTTTCCTTATGAAAAAGACACAAATAATGCAAAATGAAGCAACAAGGTACTAAAGTTGTGATCCAGTGTACACTCACCTGAGACTATATCCCTGTCAACTGCTGACAAAACATGTATAGGGTTACAGTGTGACCCCATACATGTTTACCTGGGAGTAAGCTCATTGCACCCAGTAGAACTGGCACAGAACTAGACAGGAGTGCACTACTAGATTTTATATATGCTGACAGAGAACAGGGCCAGTGACTTATGAAGGTGCCAAGGGGAGGAAGCCTTATTTTATCATCCTTACTCCAAATCATCAGTGAAATGTTACCATTACAAATAAGTAAAGCCACTTTAAATTAAACATACTTACAGACCAAACAGTCAGATGGTGCCTTCTGTTCATGCAGGAAAGTTGTGAAATGAAGCAATTTATCTGTTGTTCTTAATCCTGAAATGAGATCCCACAGAATCAAGACAAGCAACAAAAAAGTGGATTTTACTGAGAGAACTGAAACAGAAATTTGGATCTTTGCCTTGCAACCCCCACAGGAAATAGTCCTCAGTGAAGAATGTGAGGAACAGTTTGTACATTCCATTCATGCCACGCAGAACAGCACAACCTTTGATGCATCTGGTAAGCCAAAGGTTACCTAGTGGAATCTTTCACACACTGAATAAGAAAGACACAAACCACCAGGAGCAAATGGAAAGGTGGCAATCTTTCGGGGTAAATAAACATAATCTGGCTGAGAATGTCCTCTTGGAGAGTTTGGTCATTTGACTGTAGTCCTGTGCACAATTAAGCTACTAAAATCTCCTGATGACAATAGTATTTAAGGATATCAACAGCCCTCATTGGATAAGTTTCAATTTCTAAAGATTTCTTGTAGTTCTACAAAGGTTGCGGTTTCCTTAAGCTTGATACCTCCCTTTCATATGTGGATACTACCATTTTATCTACAGAAGCAATGGTGTTCAACATGGAACACCACAAAGGGGAACAACATAACTTTCGTTTCAGGATTCAGGAGGCTTGCTTGTTCTACACCCACTGAACTCAATGGGAATTCCCTGTAAGGATGCCAGTTACTGACCTGCCAGGAACCTGAAATATTGGTTAGGCTTTAGGGAAACACAGAACACCACCACCACCACCACCACCACGTACGTGTGTGTGTGTGTGTGTGTGTGTGCAGGTGTCAGAGAGCATGCAACTTTCTCAGTCAACATCAGAACTAAAAACGTTATATTTGTAGGAATATTGAATTTATGAGCTTGCCAAAGCCATGTGATGAACACTAATCTAAGAATTAGTATTCCTATTTATCTGCATTTATATTATTCCCACAGCATAAGGATTTATCTGAAAGCATATATCCTAGTTCCTCCATATTATATAGCTCCTATTCAGGTCTAGGCATCAAGGCAGAATACAAGAAGGAAAGCTGAAAACATTGAAAAATCTGCCCTCATTCTTGTCCCCAAAAGATACCCTGCTCATGGTAAATTAAAGTTTGGAAGCAGATCTTCATTATCTTCATGTGTATTTTACAGCATATGACTCTTTTTCTTGGAAATACTTCAAGTTCTCAATCCAGACTGATAAAAATATTAACTCTTTTTTTAAAGTCCAGATCAGTAACCATGATGCTTCTTTGAAATGTAATTGTTTTCTCTAGCAACTCAGCAAAAAGGAAAGGATTGGCTCTTTTGCACCTCCTCCCTGCTTCCTGGCTTTTATATGACAACAAAAGGGCACCTATTTCCTGCAGCTGCCTTGTAAATACTTTATTTAAATAGTGTGGTCATACCTGCCTTTCCCATGCTAGGATCGCCAGATGTTTCAGACTCCAACTCCCATCAGCTGTAATCTGAACTCTAGCTGGAGCTTTTGTGGCCTGTATGTGAGTGAACAGCACTGTCTCGCTCCTCCCACGCCCTGAGGGGGCTTTCCCTAAGCGATTTACAAGACCCTCCGAGTCACGGAACAGCTCATCTTTATGATTCACAGTCACTTCATTAATTTCATGTTCTTTAAAGGAAATAGAAAGAAATCCCATATGCAAAAAAAGCCTGCTCTTGAATGTAGCTGTAACTCAAATAGAATGCTTCAACTAACTATATGTGATACTGAGAAGAATCTAAACTGAAACAACGAATTGTTATATAAATTACCTTAGTCAAAATCCCAGCAAAAGTACCTGTTCACTATGGCCACTATTAATTACAATGACCAAAAAAAAAACCAAAAAATTATCACAAGTATACTGAGGCTGCAATTGTTTATCTAGTTGACAAGTGAGTAAACTTCATTTAATTCAATGAGCCTTACTACTGAGTATCACACATAAGAGTGTGCTGTTAATTGTAAACAGCTCTATCCAGACAAAATTCCTTTCAAGTAACTGGGTCTAGACTCTAGAGTAAGATGCCAGTAAATTATCAGGCATTACAGTCCTTGTGGGGAAATACCTTACGTTAACCTTTTTACATTAACATTCTTTTTTGTAGTTTTGAGAAACTGTTGTGAACTGCTCAAAGAACTTTGGCTATTGGGTGGTACACAAATAAATTAATATTTATATATTTACTTTCACATTAAACTAACTTTAACTTTTGAGTGAAACATATAAACCGAACTGGGTTCTTAATTTCACAAAAGTTAAAACACACTTCCCATCTCTTCCCCAACCGCAAGGATAGAAGAAGGGAAATAATTAAGCGCCCCCTCTTCACCCTCCTTTGTTCTTGATCACAGCTTCAGAACCCTCCTTTGATTAGTAACATTTTTTAAAAGGCAGAAATAAGGCCATAAAAAACCAAAAGAAAAATCTATAATTCTGGCAGCACATAATAGTTTTAGCCCCTCGGCTAATGTGAGGAAGCAGCCATCAGCCGTGACATATATGAGCGTGCTTTTCTGCTCTGAAGCAAGCTTTCAGTGTCTGCTGGAGCACGTATCAGACGCGCATTAGATGCACCCTGTCGTGTCAAACCAAACGCCCATCGCGTCCCACAGTCCATTCCCACGGTGTCCCTCCAGATGAGGGCGCTCATTCCCACTCGGGCTTCCCAGCAGGGGCATACCGAGGCAAGCCCCCGCTGATACTAGCAGCAGCATGCGGGCCTCATGAGGCTGAGAGCCTCGCACACCCTGTAGCCCTGTGCCAGCGGAGTGAAACAGCGCTTCGTTCTGCCCCCAATCTCCCACCACTGGACTTCGCTGGGTGCTTGTATAATGAGGGATAGAAGTGCCGCCTCCTCGTGGAGCACAGCCCTCTATCTTGTCTCCACCCAGTCAGCTTTTTTCTACGGTAAACAGTCCCAAACTTCGCAAGCTTTCCCTGTGAAGGAGTTACTCCAGCCCCTGGTCTGCCTGCATGCCCTTTTCTGCAGCTCCAGTTCTCCTTTCGGCGGTGTTCAAGTGTGGCCGCAGCAGAGCTTTGTGTATGAGCAGCATGGATCTTGTCAGTTTTGTTTTCAATTTCATTCCCAAAAGATCCGCCACACGGAATGTAGCTGCACTTTGTGGGGAGTTCTCGTTATTCCGTCATAAAACTTCACTTTTGCAGCATAAATCCTATGTGCCTGAGGAGTGAGCCCCCTTTTATTTGACAGCGTAAAGAAATATGCGAAAAATAGCAGCCTTCGCCCTTTTTGCATTGCTCACTTAAAATGGAGGATAACATGACACATACTTCCTAAACTCAGTGATTCGAGCTGCTAGGGGAAGCTGTGGAAAACTGCGCAAAGGCCACAGAAAAAAGAGCCCCACTGCCTTTTACACCGCGCAGCAGCTACACCGAAACGAGCTCTTAGAAACATCCCTGCTTTTAGCTACATATACGAGGAAAGCGCTGAAAGGGGTTGACATTTTTTTCATGGGCTGTTACAAAGCAAGGCAAGACAAACGCGCCGCGCTTCCTCCTTCCCTCCTGGGGCCGTGAGCTTCACACGACAGCCTGCTGCAGGGACAAGTCACTCCTGGACCAGCGTTACTCACATCCAGCGCGCCCGATCCTATCGCCCGAGCTCCCCCTTGCTGGTTCTCAGCACGGGCATTTCGCAACTCCGGTCACCGCCATCGCCATTGAGCACAGTTCCGCTGCTTGGACTTTCGGGTTGGGTAGACGCGCAGCTTGGATGGCGACGCAAGGCAGCTCCTCCCTAGCCCAGAAGGAGGACTATACTTCCCTGCTGCGCGTAAGAAGGTTGCGAAGCACAGCGAAGGCGCGGAACTGGCTCTATGTGCAGTTTTGCAACGGTTATAATTTTTGGCGAGCCGTGCGCGAGCGTGCAAAAGAGTAGTAATTTATTTCATTATTTAATAGATTTATATACCATATTTTTCTTTAAGAATTCGAAGCAGCTTGCAGAATTCTCCTCCTGCTCTCAATCTTATCCCCACAATAATAACGCTGTGAGGTATGTTGGGCTGAGAGGCTGTGACTGGTCTAAGTTACTTAGTTGGTACCATGGCTGAGCAAGGAGTAGGACCGAGATCTCGAGTCCCAAACCCACACTTATCAGGGGCTATTGTGGAAGGTGTTAATGAAAAGGTGTTAAGATTGTGAATTGAATCTGTTAGTCCTACTTAAGAGTAGTCCCATTGGGATGAATGGGACAACATTTGGATTGGGGTCAACCTAGTGATGTGTATATATGTGTATATATCTATACAGATTTTTTTTCATGGTAAAATATTGAAAGTGCTTGGAATGACCTGCCTTGTTGTCCCCTAAAAAAACTCACCAATGCAAAGAATGTAAAATTAATAGGGCTAGCCAGAAGGTGCAAAAAAAAATGTGACCCAAAACCAATGATGTAAACACTGTAGAAAATAAAAGGATTTATGGGCCTTGAAATAAATAATCTAATATGAGAAGGGGTGGGGCTGTTAAAGTTAAGAAAACAAATAGGCTTCTCAGGGCAATCTAACTGACAAGCAAGCTCCAATTAATTCAGTGGAGCTTTCTTGTTGTTAGGAGCTGTCCTGTTTAGACTACTGCCCTGTGATCTCTGTAGGGCTGCCCTTGAAGAATATGCAAAATGTGGCACCTGCTTGCTTGTTTTTGGTTGTTTGCTGTGGGAATTGAATGTTGGATGGCTTGAATGTTCTTAAATGAGCTTCTCTCACAAAAGCTAAAACTCAAACCATACCATTAGACTAGTGCTAGCAGAATCAGGATCTGCTGAAAGGAAGTACTTCTTCACGTAATACATACATACATACATGCAGGGTGTGAGCGGCTGCAGTTCTGTGTATAGTTATGTGAGAATAAGTTGTGCTAAGCACAAAACAAGTTACTTCTGAAGAAACACATACACTGAGAAGTACATCTGAATTATGCTATCATAAGGTATGGTGAAAACCTTAAGTGACTTTGAAAGGGAATTAAACAAATGCATAATCTGGCAATGCCATTTAGACAGAATGGCCAAATAGATCCTCCATGTTCTGAAGCAGTATAGCTGAAGGTACACACACTGGAGCTCTTAGCTAATTTTATCCTGGACCTAATGGTTTTAGAGAACACTCTTTAGTTAGTCATGTCTATACTCGAAAAGGCCTTTCTCCTCACTTTCTGGCTTTTGAGGGTATTCCTTCACTTGCTTCAAAATGTGGTAAGCCAGCTCAGCTACATTTGAGCACTCTCCTGCTCATTCTGTGGAGGAAGGCCCTGGATTTCTGTCACAGAGCCCTACCCTGATGGCATCCCAGTCTCTTGCCCTGATGTTCTGCTTGTGGGTTTCCCAGAAGCACCTGATCTGCCACAGTTGCAAATGGGAGCCTTATCTTAGCACCCTACGTAATCCAGGTTGCAGCTCTGAATGCCTACATGGGAATCAGCCCCATTGAACACTATGGTACTTCTGACTGGACGCATGTAGGGTTGATCTGTAGATGGACCTTTGGTCTCCTCAGCAGGGCTCTCCTTACGTTCTTTCTCATTTTCCCCCTTTCTGTTGCTCTCAGTGCTTCCAAAGCTTGCACCCAGTAAGTATTTGAAACATAGGTTATGCCTAACAATGCTTGTGTCTTACTTGCCCCGATCTCTGGCTGTCAGCCAAAATCTAAGGAGCTACTTTACATTCACGCAGGAGGTTTGGAAGGCCCTAGACTGTTCTCCTTTCTTTAATCAGTTGGCGTCCACAAGTCTGTTCCACAGCAACAGCTTTTGAAACTCCACTCAGCACCTGGCACAAGACTTGAAGGAAGTGGGGGGAGATGCAGCTCAATTAATGCAGACCTTCTTGCTTGGCTTATGGCACTCTTGTAATGGCTCTTTGAATCCTGGCCAATGTTTCTATTTGAGAAACCTGATGCAGCCATGGAAGAGGAACAAAAGCTGGACTGCAGTCACTGCTGCTATACCTGTGAGACCTGGCCCAAGGAAGGGCAAACAGGACTGCAACAGGAGGTTGCAGTATGGAGTGTCCCTGGCCAACCTGCTAGCCATACCTTCTTTCAGGATATTCCATGCCGCAAAATCAGTCACTGGGTATGCTCTTGTTTTCACCCAGTTCTTGGGTGGTGGTGGTGGTTTCCTAACAAATGCTTGAATGCATGGATGATACCATTTTGGCTAAGGCAAGATCAGAAGCAAGAGAATAACCCTAAAATATTCTCTCCCCCTCTTCAGGTGCTCACAGCTTTCTGTTCTGGGGGTTTCCCATGCCTCCTCCTCCCTTTTACAGTAAAACTTCCTGGGCACAAACCTTACTGAACTCTGCAAACTTTCCTCACAGTAATCATACACCAGATCAGCTTCCAGAGGGATGCAGAACTAATGGCCATGAATGCCTCCCCACCTTTCCTGCACATTTATTATTAACAGTACATGTTTGGCATGCAAAGTGCGTTCCAAGCTTTCCATTATTTTTATATTGCTATGTTACATTCCACTTGCCAAATCATACTTGCCCATACTAGTAACTACCATTTTGTAAGACAATGTTGGTCTCCTTCCCCAAGAGGCAGTACGTACGTGTGTGTGTGTGTGTGTGTGTGTGTGTGTTGTAGTAAAAGCAGCATTCTTTTGGCATGTTAGACATCCCATGCCTGCTGGACAGCCATTTTCAAATCCCCAGCTACAAGGCTGGAAAAGCTCTCTGAGCTCATAGCTGTTGATCCACACTGGATTCCCCTCCCTACCTCCAGTTGGGGCAGAAAGAACCGCACAGGTTGCTTCTCTTAAGACTGCAAGAGCAGCTTCAGAGAAGGGGTCTGGGGGGATTTCAGGGGGTCAGAGAAGGAGGAGAGTGCTGCCGTCAGTATATGATGCATCCTAGCAGTGCCTCAGCTGCCTTCTCTCCTCCAAACTGCTGCACTTACACAGCCTAAGCCTGCCATCTGAGTACCATGAAGATGCCCTTTCCCTCCATGCTTCTCCTGTCCTGCACAGGATCCTCTGAATTCATAGGGTGACAAGCATTCACTTAAGATGGCATCCTTAAAGACTGACCAATACATTGTGGAATAAACTGTTCCCATTTTAGAAGAATGTTTGTAATGTGATTTCTTTCAGTTAGGCACTGTGAGGGTTGAGTTGTGGGTTGTGCCCTTGATGGGTGGAAGTCTCAGAAGCATCCGAGTATCCAGTGCATTGGCGTGCTGCCACCAGCAGGGCAGAAGTGGCACATTGCTCTGCCCCCTCCCCACTTTTTATCTAGATGGGCCTATGAAAATGTCCAGAGTGGTTGTACGGATTGGGGAGTGAGGTTGGAGAAACCATGAGAAACACGTATCCTGGCTTTTCCTTTCCCTGTCCAAAAATCCCCTTTCTTATCTCTGAAGCTGCTTTTGCGACCTTGGAAAGCAAGTGGCACGAGTTTCTCCATTTGTAGCAGTGAATGGGAGAGATCAGATTCCAGGTTTTCTCTTCCAAGGTCTTAGCACTACCTTTGCCCTTGGAGGGAAAACTCTGAAGAAATCTGTGGACTCTGGGACCCTCTCCTGAAATGCCTTTACTTTGCTACTCCAAGTTAATCTGTTAAGGTATTATATTTGAATTGAGAAACAACATTTGCCTGCAAAAATAGGATAAAAAGTAATACAACAAAGTTACTGTGTGCAAGACAATTCAATGGTTTGGTACTCACACTTCATTTTCTTTCTCCTTTAAAATACAAGATGAGGTTTTATTCACTCTTCACATTCTGTTTATGTCACATAGGCAAATCTTTCCTTAAATTCAAAGAATAATGATAGAGACTTTGCTCACAGATGTGAATGTGTAATTTACTAGGAAAGTGTAGTATGGACTCTTGTGTTCCTTGCTCAAACAGTCAAACCCTAATTTCAAATATTTACATAGATAAAAATGTTAATCATTTATATATTCTGCAGTCCAGATGGCCCATTAACAAGCCAGTCAAGTTCCAAGTATTTAGGTATTAGAAGGGGCAGTGGTCTGGTAATGCAGTGTCCATGGTAATTCTGGAACAGGCTAAAGTGTTCTTCATGGCAATATATATTCTCACCCAAAAACTTCTCATTTTAAGTTGCTCAAGGCCATCCTTTCCCAAGCTGGTGTTCTCCAGAAGGTCTGAAGTAGTGCTTCCCTCATCCTCTGACCACTTACCATGTTGGAGGGCCCAAACTGTGCTGGGAAACTGTGCCCGGGGCTTACCTAGGGTGCAGGCTGACTGCAATGCTCATAAACCCCTGAACTTCAAGACCTGCCATCATCCTATGCAGGGCATGGGGAGCAGCAGAGGTGATTATTACCTCCCTGCCCTCCTGCCCTGTGTTTTTACCAGAGGGGCTTTTTTGTAGCATTTCAGAGGTGGGGGAAAAGAGGCTAGGGAGGCTTATATTCGAGCCTTTTCTTCTCTCCGCACCCACCTAAATCCCTCCCTCCCGCACCCACCTAAATCCCTCCCTCCCTCCCTAGAAAGTATTAGTTCTAGGCGTGCCTTGTTCAGCTGGATGCTTCCAGATGTTTTAGTCCCATGAGCCTCAGGCAGTATGGCCAGCTGGGACAGTGATCAGGAATATTGGGCACTGTAATCTGAAATGCCTGGCGGGCACCAGGTTGAGGATGTACAGCAGGACCCCTGTATCCATGGGGAGACATTCAAAGCCCCCCACTGGATGCCTGAAACTGTAGAGAATAGTGGACGCTATATACTGTACATATACATTTCTTTT